CTCCCTCCCTCTCTCTCTCCCTCCCTCTCTCCCTCTCCCTCTCCCTCTCCCTCTCTCCCTCTCTCTCTCTCAAGGTTTTAAAACCCGAAAACACCCTGGCTGCACAATCAAAACCTATAAATATTAAACATTGTTAAAATATTGTTTGAATAAAAAGGTCTTAGCCTGGCACCAAAAAACAAATAATGACGGCGCCAGGCGAACCTCTCTGGGGAGTGCATTCCACAGATGGGGCGCCACCGCAGAAAAGGCCCTCCTCCGGGTGCTTTGCTTCCTGATGTCTCTTACAGAAGGCTCCTGGAGGAGGGCCTCTGCTGCCGATCTCAAGGGGCGGGAGGGCAAATATGGACACAGGCGTTCCTTTAGGTATCCAGGTCCCAAGCCGTTAAGGGCTTTATAGGTGATTGCCCACACCTTGATGGGACTTCGATGGGAAGCCAGTGAAGCTGGTAGAGGACTGGGGTTATATGAGAATAACGTCCAGTCCCCGTCAGCAACCTGGCCCCTCTGTTTTGCACCATCTGAAGTATCCGGACTGTCTTCAAGGGCAGCCCCACGTAGAGCACATTACAGAAATCCAACCAGGAAGTAACCAATGCATGCGTCACTGTCGCTAGGCAGTCGTCCTCCAGGTAGGGACACAGCTATTCAGGTCAATGGAGCAAGATATACTGGCTACAATGGTCATAGCTTTTGGGCCTGGGTCAGATGCTGCTTTCTTCCCCTCAAAAACACGAAAGAATTACCCTGAGGTTACCTGACAGCAAATTTAGCCCACCTCCCGGTAGCAACTCAGCACTTTATCCCATATCAGTGAAGGTTTATCACACCTCACCACAGCCCTGCTAGTCCCATTTGTACTCTTCTTCAGATCATTCTCTTGAATGATTGGGGTGGGGTGGGGTGGGGTGGGGCGGGAGAGGGTGACAGACATTTCCCAAGTTTGTGTGGCCAAAAGTTACTGGGAATATGCATTTATGGGAGAGATTGTAACTCAGTGACACAACACACACTTTTATTTATCTATCATGCAAAAGGGCTGGGCTCAGGCCCAGCATCTCCAGCCAGGGCTAGGGAAGTCTTGGACAGCTGCTGCCAGATAGTGTAGGCATTACCAATCTATGATCCACAAAAACAGGTCCTGTCAGACAAACCTTGTGGAATTCTATGACAAGGTTTCGAGGTGGCTAGGTGGAGGGGATGCAGTGGATGTGGTTTACCTGGATTTCAGCAAGGCCTTTGACAAAGTGCCCCATAATATCCTGGCTGAGAAACTGAGGAGTTTTGGAATAGACCAATGCACTGTGCGATGGATTAGGGCATGATCCTGTTTAATCTTTTCATTAACGACATGGAAGAAGGGGTGAACAGTCTGCTGATCAAATTCGCAGACAATACTAAAACTGAAGCAGTGGCCACAACTGAGGAGCAGGTACTCCAGATCCAAAAGGATCTGGACAGACTATGGAAGTGGGCAGGAGACAACAGGATGGCGTTCAACGTGGATAAGTGCAAGGTCTTGCACTTGGGGCATAGGAATAGGTGTCATAAGTACAGGTTAGGTGACAGGTGGCTGGAGAGCAGCACTTGTGAAAGGGACCTCAGGGTATTGGTTGACTGCAGGCTAAACATGAGTCAGCAGTGTGATGTGGTGGTCAAGAGGGTGAATGCCACCCTTGGTTGCATAGCCAGAAGTGTGGCTTCTAGATCGAGAGAGGTATTACTACCACTTTATACGACTCTGGTGCTCCCACAACTGGAATATTGTGCTCAGTTTTGGGCCCCTCATTACAGAAAGGATATAGACAGGTTAGAGTCAGTGCAGTGTAGGGCCACAAGGTTGGTGGTCGGTTTGCAGGGGGTGGGGTATGAGGCGAGACTGAGGGAACTGGGTCTCTACAGCCTGGAGAAGAGGAGACTCAGAGGGGATATGCTGGCGACATACAGGTATGTGAGGGGATGTCACATGGAGATGGGTAGAGACCTGTTCTCCCCTGCAGAGGAAGGCAGGACACGCTCCAACGAAGCCAAGCTCAAGGAACCAAGGTTCAGTTTGGATGCCAGGAAGCACTTCCTGACAGTCAGGACCCCGAGGGTGTGGAATGGGCTTCCACGGGAGGTGGTTGAGGCCCCATCGGTGCGGCTGTTCAAAGATAGGCTAGACATGTACATGGTGGGCATGGCGTGAACGGAGCCGGCTGGAGCCAGGGGTCAGACTAGATGGCCTGGGAGACCCCTTCTGACTCGCTCTGTTTCTATGGTCTGACAGATGAATGAAGCATCATCTGTCATGTCTTGACATTATGGGCACAATGTGTAATAGCCTAAATATTTGCTAAGTATAGCGGATTTTTTGCCGTCTTTTGCTGCATAGTTCCAAAGCTTATGCAACGACTTTACAAAAATCCTTCCAGGATCTGACTGCAGGTCCATCGAGTCCTGTATCCTATTTTTATCAACCAGATGCCTCTGGAAAGCTCACAAACAGGACAAAATAATGATCTGCCTTTCAAAAATTGGTTGAGAGATGCCTAGTGCCTTAAAATAGAGATTCCATTTAGCTCTCAGGTCTGCTGGACTTTATAGACATATATAAGATGGCTGCAATAAAAGCTGTTACACTTTCACATTCCACAAATCCTTGTGTTGTACTTCAAAACACATTAGCTAATTTACCAGAGGTACAGACCTGTGAGAGTAGCCTCAGTAGTCCCAGGACGGGGACGAGGAAGTAACTCTCTAGAGGGTCCCCCAGCTTCCTCATATTTGATGATATATCCTGTGATCTTGGCACGTGGAGGCTGCCAAGTGAGCAGCAGAGAGTCGGTTGTAGTTGTGAGGAAACGCAGGTTGGAAGGTGCATCAATGGCTAAGGTACAAATAAAACCACTTAAATGAGAATCATTCCATATAACATCCCAACCCCAGGGGAGAAATAATGTGGTTTCCATATATTTCAACCACCATCCGCCAACATTTTGCTTCATTCCTGAAGTGTGTGTGTGTGTGTGTATGCGCCCACGTGTGTAGAAGGTGAGGGAGGAACCATGGCTGTAATATGCCACAAATGAACTATACAATCATGCCACAAATGAATAATAATAATATGCCACAAATGAACTATACAGGGAAAGGAAACCATCATTTTATAATGTGCTATCACCTGTGGAAGCATCAATCACTACTGGGGAGCTGCGAGCATTGTCGTTCAGGGTGTAGATGTAAATCTTGTAGTCAGTGCCAGGTTGCAAGCCTGCAATTCAAAATGAAATATTAAAAACATTGTCCTTGCTTGTACAAAGTTCTCTTCTAAAGAAGCCTATGGTCAGTTAAAAGCATTTTGGCAAGGACTTGAAGGCAAATGGCTCATAAGCCCTATGGCTATTTCCACCTATGGAAATAGCATAGGTATACTGAAGAGTCTTCTGTAGATTTTCTTTATTCATTTGGGGCATCTTTATCCCATCCTGTACAAGTCTCAGGACAGCGATACAGTCCAGTATTGCTGTCTTGTATCATAAGCCTGTGGGCCCAAGCCCTTGCACCACTTGAGAATTATATGGGAAAGCAGAGACATGAGGGAGTGTGGAGTAGTGATGAATTTAAGAAAGGAAGAGCCAAGATGCTTTTGACTGGTGCACATGATACGACAAGCCACAGTAGTTTTTTAAACTACTGTTGGTCCATTGTGTCATCCACACCCTTTGTGGTTTCTTTGGTCTTTAGAAACCACAAACTGAAACAACAATCTGCTCTACGGTTTTTCTATACCATCATGACTTGTGTTGTCCAAACCCAGAAAACACAATCCATCGTGGCATGAAGGGCAAAACCAGACAGTAGCTTGGCAAGAGTGGCCATGTCTCTACAGAGCACCACTGACAGTTGCCATTTTGAGCAGCTGTCATGATTACCCCATCCTTTTTGCAACACTGCTGAGCTGATTCTGCCCACACCCAGTTTTGCCTGAGTATGGACCGGGCTCGCTCCACGCCAGCAGACCGCTCTGCAGCAGAAGGTGATGGTGCCCAATTAGCTCCCTTGGTTTCTTTGCTGCACTTCAGGGCATGAACCCTCCTGCACAGTAGAGGCTGCTTCATAGCTGCAATGAACCAAACCTGGGTCACATTCATGGCTGTCAAAGAGAGGAGTCTCATTCCTTCGCACAGGTCTCCTAAGACACTGCCTGGGGCACTGATGAGGAGGTGGCAGAAGCGAGGGAATTTGCCCCCGAGAGATGCATCAGCTGACTGGGAGGGCAAAGAAAAAATCTCAGCTGGGCCAACCCTGCAGGGCTGATTGTCGTGCTATATGAACCCAGCCACTTCATTTCAGGAAGACCCTTACACAAGGCCCAGGATGAGGATGAGCTGTAGGTGGGATAGAAGCTGATGGGAAAGGATGCTTCAGAACCCCACAGTTGGGAATTCCCTGGCTTAAGGTTGAGTAGGGATTGAATGTGGGATGTAGTTGAACCATGAGTTGATGAATCAGGGTTGTTGTATTGTTTGAACTCAGCCAAAGCAGCAAAACATGGCATGTTAACCATGGCATATTAACCACTCACAACCCACAGTTCACAGCCCAGCAGCCATGGGTTCTCTTCATGGGTTGTTCATGGTTAACAAAGTGTGGTTTGTCAGCACAGTTGCGTTTAGACAACACAATAACTCACATTTCAACAACAACCCACTGTTCAATGAGAACCAACATCCAGCCCTTCAGCATGTGGCTTATCCTGTTCTCCAAACCCAGCAGGTGAAGGGGCCAAGAAGGGTATGGGGCTGCCCTGATGACCCCCTAGCCATCTTCAAGTTGCATGGAATGGTGTGGCTTCTCTCCTAGCCGTCAGCACGTGGTGGCAAGTGTATGGCCTCATAAATTCCACACTGGCACACTGTCCCTTCATGAGCTAGACGGAGCAACTCTTAGCACGTAGTGCAACAAGAAGCCAGGGGATGCTGAGATGAACTGCACATAGTGATCACTGTATATGTTCTAAGCCAAAGCACGCTTTGCCTTTCTAATTAGTTCTCTGTGTCTAGCTTAAACACTGTCACATTAGTTACTTTCCTTGGAATGGTCATCATTTGTTCATACCTTTTTAAAAATCTGGTGGCCAAAAAAGGATAAAATAGTCCAGATAAGGACTAGCCAGACCTGCTGAAAAGAATGGTATTACTGTTTCCTCCATTTTGTGTGCCACACCCCCAAGTGCTAGGCCTGTCTTCTCTCTTGCTGGGTATTTCAGACATGAGATAGAACTTCCTGGGACACAACAAGATAGGAAGAACCCCACTTACCAGTGATGGTGTATGTTCTGGCATCAGGGCCAATTGTTCTTTGAACTGGGTTCTGACCATTTGCTGGGACAGCATCAATCTGGAAGCCAGTGATTGTCTCAGTCTTGGTGCGCCAGTTAAGTGTGATGGTCCTCTCTGTCGAATCTGTGATACGAGCCCTACGGGGGGGACTGACATCTGCACAAAAAGGAGACAGCATGCAGCAGTAAGACTTACAGTGCTATCCAGTGGCACCTGAGGGGCACAGGATGTGAGTAACTTTACTTTCGAAGGCTATTGACAATGCTCTGATCCCAGGGGGGAAATCCTGCCTTCAACCCTGCAGCCACCCCAAGTCCTAGCTGTGGTGGAAACTTCACAGAGGCTTCCTTTTCCAGGACAGAAGACAATGGAGAGGGAGGGAAGGGGTCCTGAGGGTGAGTGGGGAGGGGCAAGAAGAAGCCAAGTAAAGACCTCAAGTCACCATCTCTACCACTGGTGGTGTGGATCAGTGAGACTAATGGAAAAGACAGCCAAGGAAGACAGGGACACAAAAAGGCCCCGGCACTCCCCCTACTTTATTGGCAAGGGCCTGGTGGGGCAAAGGATTTTCAGACACCTGTGATGTCACAGGCTTCCATCTTATGGAGAGAAACCCAGCGATCTGCACCCTTAGAAAGATATACCAGATTCCCCTAATCAGTGACTTCAAATATGCCATTAAGGGGCCATCCAGCAAATCTCAACTTGCACAGTTCTCTAAGCTGCTCTTATGCCCTTACAGGATTGTCTGGGAAAGCTTTCCTAGAAGCAGTGGGGCATGGCCTCTATTCAAGTTCCCCTTTAAGATCATAGGAACAGCTCTGCTAGATTACACCAAAGGCACGTGTATTCTAACATCAAGTTTTTCACAGTGGCCAGTCAGATGCCCCACTGGAGAGTCTGCAAGCAGGGGCCCTCTCCCACCATTGCTCCCCAGCAACTCGCATTGAGGGCCTCTAATCCTGGAGGCAGCAAACAGCCGTTGTGAATGGTAGCCTGCACAGCACAGAGCCTGGACCGCTTCTCACAAGGCGTTTCCCTTTGCTGTGACAAGCCACCCAGGACAGCCCAGGCCTTGTTCTAGGGATGGTTTGATCCCTGAGGGATTGCAGCAGAACAAGATCATTGTGGGAAATGGGGAACAGTTAGTCGGTTGCTCAGCAAGGACAGCACACCCCTTGCCTTTCTTTGCAACCTTGCCTCTGCCACTACCAGCAGCACTCCCTGCACTGCTGTCCAAGCAGCACTCAATAATGATGAATATTATGTTACCTTGATACCCCCACCTTTCTTTCTCTTGCAAGGAGGCTTACAAGATTCACCTCACCATTTTATCCACAGAACAACAACCCTGTGAGGTAGGCTAGGCTGAGAGTCTGTGACTGGCCCAAAGTCACCCAGGGAGCTTCATGGCTGAGTGGGGACTAGAACCTGGATCTCCCAGGTCCCCAGTCCAACAATCTAAGCACTATACTGGCCCTCACTCTGGAGCAGTTGTCACTGGCTCACCACCTTAAACACAATCAAAGAAACCAGTCCCTGGGACGTGCACAAATGCCCTTAAATTCTGTGGCTTTCCTTGCCAGCCTTTCACAGCCGCTGAGGAGCTGAGCAGGGCAGCCACAGGCAGGGCATTCTGGAGGGCATTCACTCACAGGGACTGGAGGCAACTTGACAGCACGCAGCAGCAAATGCACCTCTCCGCTTCCTGATGTATGTAGTTCTGCCTTTCAATTTCCTTGTCCATCCATTTCAGCTGCCAAATGCTGGAAGACTGACGGGTAAGACTGCATATCGGCTAAACTGCGAATATGTTATGGCTGTCATTTGGAAAGCACTGGCAAAAGGAAGGCAGCACTAGGGTAGACTGACCAGTCTGAAGGCCAGCTTAAAACTTTCCTCTTAGCAATTTCTAGAGTTGAACTGACACTTCCAAGTGCTCTCCATTTTCCAAGTCTCCAGCTGGTCCAGAAGGAGAAGACATTAGATCTCCCCTTTTTCATGGCTCTCTTTCTGAGTAGTTACTACACTTGCCTGACAGCTGGTAAAGATGTGAGAGGGTGGCTGAATGCAATAGGGTGGAAGAAGTTGCAGTGAGGGAGTGTTCATCCCATTCTGCCACCAATAAATTACATTCGTTTTCCTTGGAAACTTTTTTAAAACTATGAAATACACACCGATTCCAAGCTGGGAAAAACTGGAGTGGAAATCTGCATTAAAAGGCCACTGAGACGTGTCAGTTCAGCACCTGAAGACTAGAGGATTGGCTTGCCGGGGGAGCCTGCTCCCCTCTGATGCTCTGCAGTTCCTTTCCCATTTGTTCCGGCTGGCAGCTGCCAAATGCCCCTCTTCCTGCTTGTGTGCTATGGTGGTTGGCGTGCTGGACGGCGCCCTGAGAGACTGCTGTGCCAGTGCCCACTGCACCATGGGGCTCGCCGGGTGACGCTGGGCCGGCCACTCCCTCTCGGCATGACCTACCTTACGGGTTGGTGTTGTGAGGATAAAAATGGAACTATGCAAGCCACTTTGGGTTCCTCAGAAGAGGAGGAAAGGAGGGACAGCGATGCAAGGCAATGGTAATAGTACAGGTGCAAACTAATAAGAACATTATATTTCTCTACCCTACACATTATTTTATCAGCCTCTGTGATATTCTCCCTCATTCACTAAAGCCCCCAAACCATTCCATCTGTTGGCTCAGTGAGCAGTTGGATATTTTGAAGGATACTACAACTTACTCTCTAGGGTACTGACTACACCCTGGGCAGGTCTACTGGTCAGAGAGTCCTTCAGAGCATAGACGCTGACTTCATATTTGGTTGCCACCTAAAATGACAAAATCATGCATGATTAAGAGATACGCATCCTTCAGAAAATAACAAAAAGATGCAAAACAAGTTACCTCAGTGCACCTATTAACTGTTTCTATTTTACTTGTAGATGTAATGTGAAGTATTTAGACCTCAGAGAAAATTAGACATGGCAGGGACAGTCATGTCCAATCTTCATGTATCTGCCTCTTTTATGAATATGATGGAGAAGCGAATATCTTGAGTTTCTGCCCTGTAGAATTTTAATTGGCTTCAAAAGAACACATCATATCCAGCAAAGTAAGAAAGAGGATTACCATTAGTCCTGGAATAACAGCAGATGTGCTATCTGGAGAGAGATTAATTTCTTTCATTGGACCATTTTTTTCCTTGGGAGTCACTCGGACTCGGTATCCTGTGAGATGAACTTTTGGTGGAGTCCAAGTAACTGTCAGGCTGACTGGAGTAACTTGAGCAAACTTCAGATTTGTAGGAGATGGAATGGCTGTTGAATCGAGAATCAAAAGCTGAAATCATTCTGGAAATAGCAGCAAGTACAGAAATGCCTTATGTGCTAGTAATGCTGTCAACTCACCATTGTATTACAGGAATTATTCCAGTTATGGCAAGTTTCTGAATTCTGTATTTGTGATAGTAAGAGCTGGCATTTTAAACATTTCTAACCCTCTAATTCATTAGGAATACAAGTAAAAGCAAGGCAGAGCAGTCTGCCACCCCACTTAAAAGAAGTTTTAAAATGCAGGTGCCCTTAACAACCCAGTGTGTAAGAAAAGAGGTTTTTAAACACAGCTTATCAGTACTGGGAGCAGACCCATTGTTGCAGAGAAGAGGGAAAATGACAACTGAGCCACAGTGTCACCCTTCAGTAATGGTGACCAGACAGTGTTACATGCCAAAGCTGCAACATCTGCTGCATCACAGTGGTCCCACCTAGTTACATGCACATGTCCTCTTTCTCTCTCTCCCCCTGCCCTGTCTCCCTCCTCTGGGGTCTCCAATTACAGCTTAGGAGCAGCAATCTAAATGAGAGGCTGTGGGCAGATGGCCCCCTGGGTATAGACTCCAAACCAGAACCAGTGTTTGAATCTTGAAACCTGTATTCTTTTGAAGCAAGAGACTCAAGAATGGGCACAGCTGTTGGGGTATTTTTTTAAACTACCATTAGAGCAGAGGTAGGAAAGAAACAGCTTTTTTTAACCAAAAAGTGGCCATATTGGCACTAGAGCGCATTAAACAGGCAGATTTCAGCTTCAGAACATGAGAAACTTGGCCCATTTAGCACTCCATACTGCTAATGTAGCCATTTTTGGGTACATTTCTTTTTCAACACATGCTGAGGAAGTAAAAATGTGTCACTGTCACACACATCGTAGGTCCCCCACCTTTGATTTAGAGTAACTGTGATCAAGACTCTATGTCCGCAACATGTTGCTGAGAATTACCAAAGTGTATTGCCTGGGCTTGCAGTGGGGAACATACAAAAACAGAGTAAGCCCAAATTCTGTGCCAAACTGTTTTGCACTCTTTTACTTGTAAGGTTAAAGGAACGTGCAAGGGAAGCACTGGGGGACAACTGATGGGGTGACAACAGATGTAGTTAAAGGGATGAAAGGACAAAGGCACAGAACTCTTACACATGATTCTCATTAGTTTAGAGGACACAGATGAGACAGTAAAGCCTCCCTTCTTATTTGTTCAGTGGTGGCTTTTGGTTTTTTTGTGGGGAAACAAACCCTCTTATTCTACAGTGCATGCAGTGACCACAAGGGACCCATGTAGCAGGATTATACTGCTTCAGACAGGAGTCAGATGCAATTCTCCTATTTACTTACGTACATTCAGGCATCTTGGAAGAGTGAAGGAAATCAAGCAAGCAAAAAAGAAGGTTCTTAAGACTGGGTTCAGGGTTTCTTGTATTCGGACAGGCAGTGAAGCCTTATAAGTGGGGTCTTGTACCTGGGAGCTGACTGTTCTCTGGTTCAAAAGAGGATTAGAAGCCCAATGAAGAGCCTTCTTGTGAAATGATACTTTCTTTTTTCCTAGCATGTGGAAATTGGAGGAGATTGTCAGCAGGCCATTACTGTTATTCAAAGGGACTTTCTTGTCCCATCCAGGCTGCACCTTAGAATGGTGCTCCTATGGTCATGGGGATCTTCTGAACTGATTTATAAATGTGGGGTAGGAAGCTGAACATACATAGAAACCAGGGGAGGAACAGTTTGTCCTTACAGGTCCAGTCAATGTTCTGCTGCTCTTGGCTCCAGCTTCTTATGTGTGATTCATCAAGCGGGTTACCCAGTAACTTCTGCTGCTCTGACTTTTTCATACAAAAGAGGCCCCACTGTCTAAGACATCACCTGCTCTGTGCTTCTCACAGAGGAAATACCAGCTCCCCTGGACAACATTCTAGCTATTAAGGCAAAGAGGACGCAGCTGCCGTGGCCACCAAGTGGCATCTCTGTATGTGTACCTGTGGACTGGGTCCCAATCAGAGGTAGACTCTCCAAGTCATTGTGCAAGGCAACGATGCGGACAGTGTACTCAGAACCAGGCCTGAGGCCATGCAGCTCCGCAGTGTCGTCTTCACCATCTGGAGCAGGGAATAGCTCGTGGATTCCATCCTCAGGGGTTGAGTAGGTCACCCTGTACCTGGTGACTTGCCCCTGTGGGCTTTCCCAAGCAATTTTGATGGAATCGACATCCACCTCAGTGAATGTCAGTCCTTTGGGGCGATCAATGTCTGTTAGGCAAATTAACGGTGAAAGGTTAAGCAGAGGGGAGGTGAAAAGCAGATTCTGGGTGGCAAAAAGCATTTTGTTATGGACATGCAAAGCAGTTTTCTATTCCTGAACATTCAGAAATAGAATTATTTTTTAACTGCCTCATTTACAGCAGCATAATGGAGATGTAATGTGCTTAGAATTCTACCACAAGCCTCAAATGTCTTTCATGCTGTTGCAAAGAGCCCTTTGGTGATGCACATTCTTTCTGTGAACAGAATGGCTAACACAGTCAGAGAAACTCACACCTGCTAATTTCAGCAGATCTGTCCATTTCACTGACACACATGCTGCAGTCCAGGAGCAATTAAGGACCTGTGAGTCCAATAAGCTCAATCCTCTGCCAGAGAAAAGCCTTGGCTCAAATTAAAATGAGTGTGGTTTTTCCAAAACCACAGCAGCTCCGATTCCCACAGATCCTGCACCTGTTAGCCTGCAGCCATTTCTGCTGACAGAACTGAACTCTGACAGAGAGATTGTGCTTAAAAATCTCCTAAGCAAAGACTATGATGCACCAGCATTGTCAGAGCATCAGGCTGATGGTCACCTTGCAGAGCTACAATTGACTGCAAAAAGCATCAGAGTAGCTCTTTTCAAAATTAGATACTGACAAATGAATTATTTGATCCAAAATTACTTTTACAAAGGGTGTGCATAAGAGAAGATTATCTAAATGCAAGATAAATCAAAGATGATTTTGGCAAGCCAATGCTAACTTTCAATGTTACAAGGTCAGCCCATTCGTGAGTCACTTCCATGCCCAGGAAAACCTATTGGAAAGCTCGATATCAGTTCCAGCATAAACACGACCTCCTTCAGGAGCCCTGAAGGCCATCTTGTCCATCTCCTCAAGGACTTTGTGAACATAAAAGTGACTTCTAGGAGCACCTCCGCTCTTCAGCAACAGAGATCAATAGACTTTGGTGGGAAAGACATCACTGCGGCAATCTTATGCATGCTTACTTGGCAGTGGGTCCTATTGCCCACAGCAGATTTTACTTCAGAGTACAGATGCACGGGGCTGGAGAGTAAGGCAGTTTCCATGAACTTCATTTTCAAAAAAGAGTCAAAGGATGAGCTGTTTTACCACCATCATTTGCAAAAGGAAAATACATACTTGTAACAGCTGTTTCAACCAGAGGCTGACTTTCTCCATTTTGACCCTGGGCATAGACGCTAACTACATACTCGACTGTGGGTTGCAGTCCTTCAATTGTAGCTTCAGTCTGCTCTGTAACAAGAAGACCAATCAAACATGAAGGAAGGTTATTTATGGACAGCCTTGTCTGGTCGCAACTGAAAGTAAAGAGCACAGACAGTTTGCTCTAGATTAGGTTGATGTGATACGATCATTGATACATCCAAATTGATCCACATCAGAAGACGCTGTGTTAATGGATTCTACACTCACAAATGTGTTCAGAATGCAAACTACAAAAATCTCTGCTGTAGTCAGTTGAAACAAGTATATTGTACACTAGGGTCTTTAAAAATACACTTAGAAGGAGAGATTGAATTGTTCTAATTACATGCCAGAAATGCTTGCTGAACTAGCAAAAATACCCTTAGAATGTGGCTTAATAACATGTGTCACATGAGAGCCAAAATCTCTCAGGACCATGGTGCCAGCCCAGCACTGTAGGAAAGTTGTACTACCATTCTGCAATGAACCAGCTCATCCAGCTTTGATCTAGCATAAATTATGTTTACACACAGTGCCTGAATCAATCATGCATGACCATTAGATAGTTGGTAGCCACAACTAATAAGGTGTACTGAGGGATTTTAATTTTTTTTCTGGGCACAATGGATACCCACAGCACAATACAAATTACTTCTGAAAACATCCAAAGATTCAAAAGTTTGCTGTGGTATGATATGATATGATATGATATGGTATTTTAATCCAATAACAAACTTTCTCTGGGTAGATATTTCTGAAATACAGTAACATACAATACAAAACAAAACCACAAGCAGAACTGGCATAGATGAAGATATGTAAGAAACATAGAAACATAGAGCGAGTCAGTCTCACCTCATACGGCATCCCCTGCAAACTGGCCACCAACCTTGTGGCCCTACGCTGCACTGACTCTAACCTGACTGTATCCTTTCTGTAATGAGGGGCCCAAAACTGAACACAATGCTCCAACTGCAGTCGCACCAGCGTCATATAGAGTGGTAGTAATACCTCTCTCGATCTAGAAGCCACACTTCTGGCTATGCAACCAAGGGTGGCGTTCGCCCTCTTGACCACAGCATGATCACACTGCTGACTCATGTTTAGCCTGCAGTCAACCAGCACCCCAAGGTCCCTTTCACAAGTGCTGCTCTCCAGCCACTTGTCCACTAACCTGTACTTATGACACCTATTCCTATGCCCCAAATGCAAGACCTTGCACTTATCCACATTGAACGCCATTCTGTTGTCTCTTGCCCACTTCCATAGTCTGTCCAGATCCTTTTGGATCTGGAGTACCTGCTCCTCAGTTGTGGCCACTGCCCCCGTTTTAGTATTGTCTGCGAATCTGATCAGCAGACTGTTCACCCCTTCTTCCATGTCATTAATGAAAAGACTGAACAGGATCAGCCCCAGGACAGAGCCCTGGGGGACGCCGCTTGTCACTGGCCGCCATCCCGATGATTCCCCACTAATGGTCACCCTCTGCTTTTGGTCAGTCAACCATGCCCTGATCCAACGGACAGTGCTTTGGTGTATCCCAAAACTCAGGTATGAAGTTTGGAATCAACTTATCATTAAGTTGCATTTCCTTAATGACCACTATCCTCACTTGGCTTCTTGGTTATGGACTTGGATATGTGTAATACTCTTTCATTCTACAAAGCTAGCCTAGTTGGTCAACATAATAAAGATTTTTGCTTAGAAAGCCTGATACAGTGGCACTTCACCTAACAAACTCCTCAGTTCACAACCAAATCAGATTGCAAACAAATTTAGGAAAAAAATTTCCTCAGGCCGTGAACTCTGCCACACACGTGTCCACACAAAAAGCCTGTGTGGATGAATGCGTGTCCTCCTTTCCTCCATAGAGAAGTTGGAAGCGGGGGGTGGGGGGAGATCTTGGTACCTCCCTGCCTGGCTTTTACAGGCGGTGAAAACAGAGGGGAGGCACGGTGAGAGCCACACATGAAAGCCTGGCCCCAGGGAGCTAAGCCGACCAGTGGGGAAAGTGGCAATTCTACATTTTCACTTGCTACTGAGCCAAGCAGCCATTACGGGATACTTTTCTTCCCCTCTCTCCCGCTGCCTTTTCACCCACTCTGCATGTCCCAGGTTCTTACCTGCTGACAGCACTCTGGTTTTTGTGGGGCCATGACCGTCCTTAGGAACAGCTGTCACTCTGTAGCCAGTAACTGGGGAGGAGGAAGGATGCCACCGCACAGTGAGGCTGTTGTCCTTGATGTCAGTTACTTGTAGCTGTGACGGTGTATCAATTTCTGTGCATTAAGAATGAACAGCTGTCTCAGAATTTATCAGTCAATCACTGGCTTCCACTTCCTCAATTCTTCATGAAATGTGTTGATTATTAGTTATTGGAAATATTTTATGCTGCTCTTCAACCAAAACCTTTCCCAATATGACTGCTGTATCATTAAACAAGAAAGTCCCTGCCCACAGGCTTAGAACCTGAAAAGGGTAATGATCTATTCATTCCATTTATTGGTCACCCCAAAACAAGAAATTTCTGAGTGACACAAAAAATAAAACAGCTTAAAACCATAATTCAAATTCAATGAGAATAAAGAATCACACAACTCTATAATAATCCCCCAACAGAGTCATGCCAAAGCAGAGTACTAGAGATCAAAGACATTTTGGCAGCAATCAGGTGCAGAGAACCAAAGGAACGAAGTCCACAACACTACGTATATTGTTCTAATTCCTTCTCACAATGTTCTTAAATAACACTGTTGTGCCAATACACCACCTCTTGAACCTGCCTGCCAATTACAATCATCATGACAGGCCTTTCTCTGGATGCCCCCAACATCAGAAGTGATGGGGGTTGCTTAACAAGGATGCTGCTGAGTTTTGGTTGCCAGGTTCCATTCTTTCTTGTTTACCCAGTAAATTAAGTCTCACAATTTTTGTTGTTGTTTTCTAATTTTTAACTGCTACATTGAATCTTATTTTGTGCTTTTATTTGTTCTGTCCACCCCCCGCCCCTTTTTGATCAGTGGTTCATTTATTCTGTTTCGTATGCCACTTTAGATTCTTTTGTCCAAGGCTTAAAATCAAGTACAAACATTTCAAGCTAACATGCAAAAAATTAGAAATAAAATCCACATCACATTAATATAAGGAGTTCCAGGCATCACAAGCAAGTGTAACAGTAGTGTTGTTCATGTCCAGGCACTAAGCTGGCAGATGAATTTCCCTGGGTTTGGGCCACTTTTAGGAGTCCTGCATAATCCTCGTGCCCAGTGGCCACTGATGCCAACTACATAGGAGGGCACTAAAAGTTTGATCCATCTGCCAAGCCACTGACTGCCATTGCATTTTACCTTGCCTTCACCCACCCAAGGCTCCTCTTACCTACTCCAGCCCATGGGAAACATTTGTGAGAGCTAAATGGAACCTTCACATTCAGAAACAGCAAAGCTTTGCATGTGTAAATAACAGATGCTGGGGATAAAGCACAAAGGAATATGGTTGCCCTCAAACTCTGATTAAACTTTTCCCAGGTGCATTTGGCCAGCCATTGATGGAAACATGAAACAAGTGCTGGACTAGATGGAGATGAGTATTAATTTGCAATAATCATGTCTGCACAATTTGCAATATTTTTTCACATAAATTAAAAGTACTGATGTAAATTAAAAAAATCTTTGTTTGTTGTAAATCACCTCAAGCTCATAAAGTAGTTAGACGTAAGTGTTTTAAAATAAGTTATTGATGCAACAAAATGTTAATGCATCATTCTGAAAAAAGTTCTATGTGTAGGACAGAAAGAATCATGGTATGAGGGCAATTATTTTGTCAGTTACAACAAGTACTTCTAAAGCCATAATCTTACCCATTCTGTAGTTGACAGTGACTGGTTTGCTGCTGGCAGGGCTATCTCCACGTCCAGTGACTGCATATACAGTGATGGTGTAGTCAGCGCCTGGTTTAAGTCCAGAGATGGTTGCGCTGGACACGTGTCCAGGAACAGTGAACTCTTGAACAGGACTTCTGCCACCTGGGAGCCACAGTACAGGGCAATCGCCATTACAGAATTACAGATTTCTTAACATCATCACTACTTACAGCTGTAAATTGCCTTTGGCCCAAAACAGGGGTTTCAATGCAGTTTCCAGCAAAAATAAAGTATGACTAAAACAACAAACAACAAATATGTGGTTTGATTGCAAAATGACCTAATTATGTAAGCAATAGACTGACTGAAGAATTTAATGTTAGGTGGAAATTCCATTATATGCAGTAAAAGGAAGCTTGTAAAAATATTGTTGATGATTTATACCTAATTCAAAATAATTGCAAAATTAGTTGGTTAACAGAACTACAATCATCTTTTTAGTGAGCCCCAACAAAGTACTAATTGACAAAAAGATAGAAATTGTTGGCTTTTTTGCAGGTTATGAATGTATATGCTATATATGTTATATTTGTGCAAAATCTCTTGCAATTTTTTATATTTTTCTTCCTTTCTGTACTTTATTTCTTTCAAGAAAACAAAAATAAGTGTTCTGATCCACCCACAATCAATCATGTGACCCAGCCCTCAGCCTCAAAAATAGGTAGATGTCTGCTTCTGGCCAAGGATGGGGCGTCCATACTGGCTCTCCATACCTGCTCCATACCTATCATAAACTGATTTTAAGTCAACCTACCCTCCACTCCCTTAACTTCATTTTAAATCTATTCTCAGGTGATAGAATGAGCAATTATTTCCCATCATCTTCTGACAACTGAGGGTCATTTCACCCTTCACACAGAGGTAAATCCTTTTTCGCTACTGCGTATGCATTCAGCAGGGACAAGAATTCAATCCCTTATAAATGTACTTGTACACTTCTGCTCTAAGCATGTTCACTTGCAGCATTTTATCACATTCCCATTAGGGGCTTTTGGGTTGGTTCTACATCATACCCAGATTATGCAAACGTACAACCATAATTGTGCCAAGGTTCTCTGTGAATAAGAATTATATATGTAAAGTAACACCTGCATTATTTTGCTAACATCCATTTTCTTTTTAAGTAAGCAGCTAGAGAGATGGACACAACTCGCTGAGGTGGAAGCAGCAGTGGTGGTGGAGGTCCAGAGCAGGCATGACCGTGCATCTCCTTCTAACCTGCCCTCGTCATCGAAGTGGTGCGGCGTCCCTCAGAGGCTTTTCCTTAGCTCTTGCCCGCAGTTTCCCTGCATTCCCCATGCTGCAATTCACCCCTCAGGCAGTCACTGGTCTCACACAGTGCTCACCTGTTTCACCATATGTGATCCTGTAGTATCTAACTGTGACTGCTGGTGCATCCCAGTCGATGACCAGGGTAGTGGGGCTTGTGGCAGTGACATGGAGATCTCTTGGGACATCGGACACTAGAAAGGGGTTTAAAAACCACATGTTAGGAATATTTCACCCCCCCCCCCCCAATAACACAATGCAACTGCCAGTAAAGCCAGCAGCTCACTTTTAGGACACCCAATTAGACGAGACTGAACCATGAATCCATGGCCCACAGACTGTCCCCAGGGTAGATGGCATTTGATCATCTTACTGATCCAGATCAGAAGATCCCTCCAAGACAGATCACTGTTGCTTTGCTTTTATCAACGCAGAAATTATTTTAAGGGATAGTGAATTGACAATGGCCATCCACAAATCCATCAGAAAGCTGAGATTTGAACCCACATCCTAACTCTGATGTATGCTGTGACTTTAGGATTGCACTCAAGACTAGACATTTGTTACCGGGCACGGTGTTCAGCTCCCTAAAGATCTTGGCAAGAAGCTGTCAAGGAAGGGAACACCTGGTTACCACTGGGAGTGCTGCCCACCCCCGCCCCACCTTCTCCCATAGTAATGCTGTGAAGCAAACACTGGAGCTGTGACGTCCGTGTGTTCAGAGTTTCCTTCCCTACATTTGGCTGCAAGCTGCTGGGATGGGAAACCATGCAGTAACAGGTGTCAAGCGCTTGGCTTTCTATCATTTTGGATAAAGAGAATGAAATGACACTGGGCTGCTTTCAGCAACAGCATTATATTCTCCATTTTACTTAGTTGTGAAGTCAAGTTTCATTTTTAAACTGCAACAACAACATTTAGGTAGATAGAGAGGACAATCTTGTTCTGAAGAACTTTCCTCTAAAATGATGTATATGATGGAACATTTTCAAGTCTAGTCTTTTTGATTTACTTCCTTTTCCTCCCAGGTGTCTTCTCTGTCTATCCAATCTCAATTATGTCAGGTTCCTGCTGTTGTGCTTTCCAATTTGTGGGACAGAATTTTAGAAAATGAAGCCCTGTGAGCTGCTACAGGGGAGCAAGAAATTAAGCCAGTGTTTCTGCTTTACCTGTACTTTGATGTCCAACCAAGGGCAAGCTCTCTTCTTTGCCGTTGAATGCAGAAATGCTAACCACATACTCTGAACCAGGCACCAGGTCAGTGAGAGTGATGGAATTGCGAGATGGAGCAATACGGACCTCTTTGGGTCGGCCTCCACCTTGCTCAAGGTAATGGCGTATTTTGTAGCCAGTGATGGGAGCACGAGGGGCAATCCAATGGACAGTGAAAGAGTGGGCAGTTTTTTCTGAGAAGTCCAGTCCAGTTGGGGAATCCAGGCCTTTTTCAAAAGAAAATGAAGCAGATTGGTACGAGCTGAACAATTGAGGAATGTCTTGTTGAAAAATAAGATAACACACATAAAGTGTAATGAAGACATCAGGACAAACCAAAGCCCTGCCAACAGTGCAGCTCTTAACAAGGAAGGGCACAAGCATATGAGGGTGTCATTCAAACATGAACCCACCTCCATTTGGAAAAAGAATACTGTTTCTTACTGAATGTCAAATGATTCTTGAAGGAATGTGGACGTGGCCCTGTACGGGATTACATTCTTATTTAACACAGCCATCTTGGCATTAAGGTGGCAAACCTATTTGAGACAGAGCTGAAATCACTTCGTAAGGCAAAGATCTCTTGCCCCAGTTTAGCTTAAGTTAGTCATCATTAAATCCTGCCGAAGCTAATGGTACATGTTAGCCATGACATATTTAAATTGCATCACTGTCAGATGAGCCAGGGTGACATGTTCCCAGGGAATAAATCCATCCCAACTCAGAGAATCACTTCTAAGTAAGGTTACCTAGTGTCACACTGTTACTCAGGATTAACATTAGCTGGCTGGCAGAGGGTTTCTCAATTTAAGCAAGAACACAATGAGGAGCGAAAGGTCATGATCTTCACTATTTTTCAAAAGTTTTTCAAAACGGCAGAACAATTCTTAAACGGAGCTGCATAATTAATACACAACATTCTTGTTTCTAAGTAAAACTAAAAGAAGGGGCAATATTTTCAGTATTTTCCAATCCACAGACCTGTTTTCTGCTCTCCACTCAGAGGTTTGCTCTCCTGTTGCTCATAAACACTGTAGACCCTGATCAAATACACAGTGCCGGGAAGGAGATCTGAAGGATTAAAAGAGCAATGAATTAAGAATTTGAGCAAATCTCAGTTGTTTAACTGAAAGAGTTCCTTTCTGGAATGTATCATCTATACACAACAAACATTTGATTGCAAAACCTGAGGCTACACATGCTATTCCAACTGAGTGTTATCAGTTAAATTGCTTTCTCTTGTCTTTTTTTAACCATGGATTTTTAAACTTGTAAAATGTCTCTTTCTTTTCAGTCATGCTCTCCCTATTGCTCCCCCTTTTCTTAAACAAGGGCATGATTTTATGACTTTTCCTACAGCCATTTATTATTCATGCATTTCCACCAGCTAAATGATTTCTCTATATTTACTGAGAAACCCTGCTGGAACTCATATACTACCTACATCTCCCTCCATTAACAAAACTTGCAGTCTGGGTAGCAGAGTGCAAACATACTTCTCAAAAATGTGCATGACACCAAAACTAGAAGAGGTACAATTTGTTTTTCCAAAAGGTCAACAACCCTTTAATTTTAACCTTCATTCTGAACACTGCACTGCTGGCCATTGACTGTTTAAATAGATACAGCAAGTCAATACTTTCTCTTATTACTTAAACCAATCAGAATAATCTATGACCAAGTTCCAAAGAACTACTTTAGGCTTATCCAAGAGGAAGGCCTGCTGTTTTGGAGGAACCACAACCCTTTACCTCCCCTGCTTTTGACATCCTTCCAAGATTTCAAAGCAATTGGCCAGGTGGTAGAGCTGCAGGAGGTCCCGTTGTTCTAGATGCACAACTTGGAAGCACAACCTGAGACTCATCGGACTACCTGTCCTATTCTTTAGATCTTGCCTGATGAGTTGGATTCTCTTAGCTGTTGCTCCTATTTTCTACCCTAGGCAACTGCAATCCTATCTGATCTGAAACCTGCTTTCCTCATAGTAGAACCTGTGAGAACTTGACTGTATTTTAAGATACTGGCTAAAACATCAGCCTGCAATGCAACTGGAAGAAAATAATATAGCTCAATTTCACAGTGCTATTCAATCTGTTCGATAGACTGATGGCATGATCTGTCAGCCACTGTCGTCCCTTCAGGCCAAATGAATCAGGCATTCATTACAGAGCTAATATTCGAATATAGGATGGATGAACTCTACATGAATATAAACACGTTTTCTGGGCTAATGAAATAGATGGGTGCCATTAAAGTAAGACTCAGTAAAGAGTGCAGAAATCCATTAACTGGCACATATGATAGCAAATAACAACAGCAACTAAGACCCCAGAACACTTGGATGAAGATAAGCAAAAAAAGGTATCCAGACCAGAAGCCTTGTCTCATTCACTGGCCAAATTCACAACAGTTCCTCATTCGAATGACTTCAGTTTGCAGACAAGAAAAATGCCTCATGCACCACTAAATAATACAGTTATGCTCTTACTTGTTAAAACTACTGCATTATCAGAAGGAGAGAGGGACAGCTCTGCAACATCCTCCTCATTCTTCACAGGTGAGAAACGAACTAGGAAGTTGGTCAGTTCAATGGATGCTGGCGGAGTCCAGGTTACTCTCATTGTGTCCGGTCCCACATTGGTAAAACGTAGATCGGTAGGTGGAGGTACAGCTAAGTTTAAAGGATAACATGTTTAGAATATTTAATGGAAATACAATTTGATTCAACAGTGGTTTGATAATATACAAACAATCTCATGCAGAAAAGAAAATCTACTACCTAGTCAAATCCATGCAAACAAACTAGTAAGCAATGTTTCATTCTACTAAAGTTGCAATTGTACACTCCACCATAGCTGTTGTAAAGCATATTTAACCCCTCAGTTCAGCCATCATGAATGGATTTCACAATACCATTATCGTAAAGTACACACAGCAAGTTCCTGTACTTTGCAGATAGATCTCATAAACCACTCTTGAAGCAGAGAGGCTCCACTTACTCCACAAAGCTCAAAGGGGAAAAAATTTTTTTTTCCATAACATTGCCATGCATACAGATGGGATGATGGTTGATAGCTGTGTGGTCTCTAGGTTTCTGCAACTACTTGTGCAGTAAAAGGCTACAAAATCTTCACTCAGCTAAGATGGACACACAAGTCTTCCATGCATAACAAATTCTCATGCACTACAGAGAATCTTTACAGACTGACTGTCATGCTTGTCACTAGCAAGAGTTTGGAGGATGTTTCCTTCTCTCATCATTTTGAGGGAACACCTGAATACTTGGGCCATCAGGGAAACAAACATCAAGTGAGTATAAGGATAATGAACACCAAGGACTGGCATTCATGGCGAGTATCCCCTCTTACTGAACTGGGAGCGGCAGTGCACACTGGGCACACAGCCAAAGGGCACACAGGACTGGACATGGACCTTCTTATTAGCCAGTTCTGGGTTTGAAACTCGAGCTTCATAGTGTACATTCTACATTTGAACTGGGGTTGAACACACTTCTTTAGTTCAAGCTCAGCTTGGATATGGACTGTTAAATGGTAACAAAAGAAATCTACCTTACTTGGATGCTGTAAGAATAAATGATAAAGGGAAATGTTTCTCCTGTCTAAACATTAGCAACAAAGTTGCAAAAGCCGAATCAATTAGGACCTGCTGATATGCAGGCTAAATAATCCAGCAGAAGATTACTGGTAATACAAAAAGGAAGCTACATATGAGGCTACATTCCTATTTTCGTTAACACCAGACATAGCAAGCGGCCCTCATCTTTTTCGAGAAGGCAAGAGTCATCCAAGCAGCTAGTGACAACATGGGACAGTCCTCTAGCGCAGCGGCTCTCCAACCATATACCCGTTTGCTGAGTCAGCGTGGTGGGGGCACTTTCTCCTCCATTAATGAGTGTGATCACGCTGATCTCATAATCAATGCCCGGCTCCAGGCCTGTGACCGTGTAGTATCCTACTGAAGAGTCCACAAAATCTTCAAAAATGGGGACACTTTCTCCTGCTGCAACTACCGTGATGCGGTAGCCAATAATGGTAGAAGCATTTAGTGGGGTCCACCTCAGGCCGATGCTTGTATCGGTTATGTCAGCAAAGCTTAAGTCAGTGAGCTGGGGCACCTCTATTGGGTTAGAGAGCAGAATTGGGAGGCAAGGAGAAACATAGGCAAAACACAACAACAACAACAACAACAACAACAACAACGAGAAAAAAAACAATGATGATCAGATTACACGTATTAAAATTAAGAATTAAAATGAATTAAATTAAAAATGAAGGTAACAGTAAAGTAATGGTGATATGTAATTTTCACCTATGAATAATAAGTCTATTATTTGCAATGCACAGCAGTTTGCTACATCGTTAGCTCCTCTTGTAATTTATGTGGAAACCATTCTTCTAAATATTATTAGCAATGTTTTTTTGGGGGGATTTGCAGCTGAATCCTATTTCCTAGGGTGGAGCAAAACTGTCCACTACTCCAATATGCATACAGCAACAAAAGTGGAGCTTCCAATAGAACATCTTTCTGAATCACTGTAAGCTTGACAGAAGTGCCTAAGTCCCTGTTGGTGACTAACCCTTTAGCCCTGTATATTCTTAAATGTTTAATTCTTCAACTGCAGCAGCACATGGGCTTGCCACATCTTCCTTGTAAAAATCATCATCGGTTAATGACAGTTTGCTGTCCTGAGCATTTTCCATGTGGAACACACAGAACTGCTGGATTCAGGATGTTCTGTCAGTTGCACCTGTGGGTGCAAACAATGGGCTCCCTTGGTCAATTCTACTATATTAAAGGCATCAAATTAGGCTTCATACTAATCACATCACACTAAGCACCACACCACACTAAGGAGAAGGCAGCTTCTATGACTTGGAGCCCACAAGGAAGTGATGCGGCTGATAGGAACATGTGTACAACCAGGGGTGAGAAGGTGGCTATCCAGTCAGTACACAACCAAGTTAAGGCATAACCCTGCAGACTGTAGGAATATAGTCAGTTGCTGTAGCCAGTGGGTCACCATCCTTAGCCTCTTATTTTTAACAATCTGTTTAGCAGAATGTTGCTTCTTTCAGAAATCCATTTCTCTTTGGTTTATACTTGACATAATCCTTATGAACTGCAGCACTCCAGCAAAGCTACTGTTTCCCAAGTGCAGAGTTTTTCAAAGATTACAACTTTAAACAGGGCATCCTTACACACTACTCAAAAGCAGAATTATACTCATTTGCCTTTGTAGAAAGTCCATCCCACTTGGAACTTTCAGAGCCTAGTGGACATCATGAGATGACATGTAGATGCTAGTCAAGTAATAAACTGAGAAGATAACATAAAGCTATCGTATCAGGCTCATCATCTTGAAATAGGATACTGGTTTTGTATAAATAGGCCCAAATACATAGAAATATGTCACACCCTGGAGACCACTAGTATTCAGTAGGAAATTTCTAAGGGCACTTTAAAAAGCCACAGCTGTAATGAACTCAGTGGACAAATCATTCTGAAGCTGAACTCCTCTCATCTCTGCAAGCTTCAATGCATTCAGGAGCCGTGCTGTGTAGTTTGAGAGTAGAGAGATGGGAAGCATGGGAAGTGGGAGACAGACCATTTGAGAGCTGCAAGGAAAACAATATGCTTTATGTGACTTGGGCTGGGGCAGTAAGGAAGAGATCATTAAGATAAGGAAGATATCAGTGAGGATGGCAAAATGATAACCTGACAAAGAAACAGCAGAAGTGCTTGATTCGTACTTTGACTCGGCTTTCTCCCAAAAGAGGGTCTATGACAAAGGAGATGCACAAGCAGGATTGCAGCTTGAGATGGATAGGCAAGTTGGATAGGTCCAGGGACACAGATTAGTACTTTGAATGAATTCAGAGCTCCAGGACCCAAGGAACTGCACCCTGAAGTAATAAGGAGCTCTCAGAACTACTATCTATGATCTTTGAGAAATCATGGGGGATGAGGGATGTTTCAGTCAACTGGAGGAGAACTAATGTTGTTGCTGTCTTCAGAAAGGGAAAAAGAAAGACCTGGGAACTACAGAGCAGTCAGTTTTACATCAATCCCTGGGAAAATTCTGGTGCAGATTATAAAGCAGTCAGTCTGCAAACACCTTGGAAGCAATGCAGTGATTACTAGAAGCCAACATGGCCTTGTCAAGAATAAATTCTTCCAGACTAGTCTGACCTCGGTTTCTGATTGAGTAACTTCCCAGGGTGTGTGTGGGAATGCTGTGACTTCATATAACTTGACTTTTGACAAAGTGTCCCATGATATCCTGATTGGCTAACTAGCTAAAAGTAAGCTAGTTGGAACAGTTATCAGGTTGATCCACAGTTGGCTACCAAATCAGATCCAAAGAATGCTTACCAATGGTACCTTCTCAATCTGGGGAGAGGTAATAACTGGAGTACTGCAGGGTTTTGTCCTGGACCTCATGATCTTCAACATTTGTACTAATAATTTGGGTGAGGAGCTGCAGGGAATGCTTATCAAATTTGCAGATGGCACAAAATTGGATGGGATAGCTAACAGTTTGGAAGATGGAAATAAAATTCCAAGTGATCTTGCTATGTTGGGGTGCTGCTCTGAAAACAAAAGACCAAAATTTAACCGGGACAATGGCCAGGTTCTGTATCTAAAAAAAAGAAAGTAAATGCCTTTTTACAGGATGAAGGACACAAGGCTCAACAATACTACAAGTGAGAAGAAAGTTGGAAGTGTTGTAGCTCCTGATTGTCTCTCGGATGAAGTGTAGCCTGTTGCCAATTAAGTAAATCAGCTGTTGAAAATGGGCTATCAGTATATACCATAGTGTGACATCCAGTTACTGTTTGCACAGGATATGCTCTTAAGGGCGCTTGAATGCCCAGATGCTTTTCCACAAGCACAGGAGCTGGAGTGGAGATTGGTGGATATTTTCTGTCTATTCTTTTAACAACAAACTGAATAGCAGTCAGCAATGTGATGTGACTGCAAAGAAGGCAAATGCTATTTTAGTGTGCATTAGAAGAAGTATTGCTTCCAAACCAGGCAAAGTACCAGTTCCCCTCTACTCAGCACTGGTTAGGCCTCATCTTGAGTGCTGTACGCGGCAGGCAATCTAGAAAAGGTTTAGAAGAGGGCAACAAGGATAATCTGGGGACCGTAAACAATGCCCAGTGAGCTTATATTGGAAGAACTGGACATGTTTAGCTTTGAGAAAGGAAGACTGAGGAGAGACATGATAGCACTTTCAAATACTTGAAAGACAGTCACACAGAGGAGGCAAAGAATCTCTTCTTGATCAACCTGGAGTGCAAGGGCACATACTTACAGGCTCAAGTTACAGGAATATAGATTCTGGCTGATATCAGGAAAACCTCCTTTTAGAGCAGTATGACAATGGAACCAATGACCAAGGAGGTCACGGGTTCTCCCTCACTGGAGGCGATCAAGATTTGGCTGGAAAGCCATCTGTCAGGAATGCTTTAATTTGGAGTTCTGCATTGAGCAGGGTGTTGGACCTGATGGCCTTCTTTTGCTGTTCTATGATGCTGTACCAAATGTGGTACACATTTGGTGCAAAACATGGTTTTAGCAATTAAGAATAGTTTTCATTTTGTTATAAAAAAAAAAAAACCTCTGACATATCCTACCAAACTGGAGGAGCACCTTATTTCCTAGTAAATAACACATATATTTGTGGAATGTTGTGTACCATATCACCTGCAAAAAAGCACTAGAAGACATACCAAATATGCCTTTATAGTACTTCTTTGCTTTAGAAAGTAACACTGGGTTAAGGCCTTGATTGTTTGACTCAGTTCATACCAGGGTGTTAGTTATTTATAAGAGCAAAGAAAGAGACTCAGTGCAAGTACAGAAATGTCAAGCATTGTTACCAGCAAGCGTCTGTCAAACACATAAGCTAAGAGCCATTTTTGGTTTAGCAAAAATAAGGCAAAATCCCATAACGATTGGCTCTCAATTTTCCACCACTAGTCTGAAATATCCCTGTCCATCTTCTTCAATTAAAAAAGGGCACAGAATAGATTTGTGGCTCTGACATTTACTTCTGTGTGTACAGGAGAACAAGAAGATGTCTTTTATAGGACCTCTGCCCCAAGCATAGGCCAATTTATTGGGGATGGAGAGAAAGCTTCACTGTTAAACATACAGGGATTATGCTTGAGTGTACATAGCATAAGACTTGATGGTGTTATTATAAATCAATTGGATCACCTTGTTCATTTTATGTTTCCTGAACTCTGGAATCCATATGACAACAGCTCAAAATGTAGAAGGTCCACTTGATGATTTCCCAGTGAGTTTCTTCAGCAAAAGTTATTCTTAGGATCTGAGAGGTGAGAGCTTGTTCGCATGTTACATTTTGCAGGTTTTAGCACATTGTTCCCACCTCTGTCTCTGCTGGAATCTTTTCAAGCATCAGATCCTATTTGCTTTCAATAGCAACAAGTAACATGAAGTAAATAGATACAAACCTTTGTTTCAGTGGTATTCTCAGTGCCTCTAATTTTGAGGGACTGGTGTCTGATTTGGCTCATTCCCATTCTGAAGTCCACACAAAATGTAACATATGAACAATCAGTAATGATGAACTACCCATTTCCACACAATCATTGAAGGCATTCGAAATCAAGGCTGATTGACTCACCATTGTTTTCTATTCATGTCAGGTAAGACTAAAGTATAAAAAGTGTAAGTAATACTCATCCTCTCTGCAAGAAAGTTGTGTCTTCAGTGGCATAATTACTTGGAAGAAAATTCCATTTAAATAAAAGGGATTTACTTGTGAGTAAATATGCATGGGATCAAAGAAAACTAGTCACTGAACATCATACACTTTTTATATGTACAAGCAGTGAAATTTATCTGGTCCACTGCTCAGTTTTAATTTTACCTTGTGTAATGGTTTCAAAAATAGGCATGCTTTCCTGGTCATCTTTCACTGTAAAAACACTGACGTTGTATTCTACCCCAGGACTCAGATGCTCAAAGCTGCAGGTGGATTCCTCCGCACGGACATTTTCCTCAAGAGAATTTCCTTGCTGTCCATTTGTAGGGACAGTCGTAATTCTGTATCCAGTGATATCTAAAGCAGAGGGATAAAAATTAAGTTGGTGCAGGTACTGTGCTTTCATTTAGTTAGAAATCAGTGCAAACATTTATAGATATTAAATTAACAGAATCTGACAGCAAGAATTCTTGTTATCAAGTATGACACAGAAGGATGCAAAGACTGTTGAATCAGAGATGACCTTCAACAAGTTCACTGAAAAACATAGATTCCTTCAACCTAGTGTTGTAATACCACTGTGTACTGTGTGTGTACACGGTTGCCCTCTTGCAAGTTCAACTGTGAGAAGCTGGAGAGAAAACAATTACAGCTTCATTCTATAATACTGTAACTGGCCATAGTTCTTAAAACACTTTTTGAGCCTTTCTATTCTGGTCATTGTTGAAGACATAAGAGTAAGTTGCTGGGCCACTGGTTATTGGGCTTGTTAGTGTTTTTCAAATTTATTTTCATATAAATGTCTAAAACTCAAGGACACTTCCAAAAATCAATGTTTCTCATGAACTGGAGAGTATTAAGCATTTTGATGATTCAACTATGTTTCAATATAATCTCAAAGACTATGTAGCTTTCAAGAAGACACTGAAATGCATGTCTCGGGTCCATTTCAATACTACTTTTCCATCACTCTCATCTAAGAATCAAGCATCACCACCAAATAAAGTTTGTGAAATCCAGTAATTAAAGATGTTTTTTATCAAAGATGTTTGAAGACCTGGTGGGCAAGAAGAAAATAATAATAATTTAGGGAGCAATCACTTGCATGAGAGAAAGCAAGCAGCCCATCTCATTCTGTAAATGATGGATCAGTTTGCATATCACAGTGGAAAAATGTGGGTTAGTTAATCTATAATTTGCAGGATGTGCGTAACACACAACTTCTTTCCACCTGAATAAACAACCTGAGTTAACCCAACAACAACCCATTCGGTAAGTCTTGATTGCTTAAACCCATAAACAACTCAGTGTCTGGGTTCAGACATCATGCTAACAACCTATGAATAGGGCATTTGCAGGTTGTTTATTCAAGTCAGAAACAGCTCCACATGTCCCCACAAATCATGGGTTAATTAATCCACAATTTGCCAACCTGACATGCAAACCATGTCATAGACTGCTTTTAAGGGAATGCCTTTTAATGGTGTGATTTTGTTCAAAACTGAGATGCTCTACAAAGTGGTATATCCTCTGGTCAGGTAACGTCCATACCAGAATTTAAAATGTAACAGATATAACCAGAATCTGGTTAGCAACAACACTGGAAATGTCAGCGAACATAATTAATTAAGGAGTGGAGAGTTATTTGGAACAGGATCCCTGGGCAGTTGAAAGAGTGATAGAAATACCTGGAGTTGTGCTTCTTTCCCAAGAAACTGTGAGGATTCCCGTGTCAGGATTAGAATCAAGATGTAAGTTGGACGGTGGTGACAGTGCTGTAGGAAATAAGATAAATGGTTTAAGATTTAACAGTGATTATTTTGTTCTTTAAAAATTTAACTCCTGAACTGAGAAAAGTCCTCCAAGACCCACTCTTCTAGCTTGCAACATTTATTTCCTGAGCCACTTTGACATGGTAGTTAGGATTTTAAACTGGAAATCCAGGAGATCTGGGTTCTAGTCCCTACTTGGGCATGAAGTTCACTGTGTGACTTTGGGCCAGTCACTCACTCAGCCTAACCTACCTCACAGGGTAAGGTAAGATGTGGAAAACTGGAGTGGAGGAAACCTATGTAAGTGGACTTGGGATCCCCACAAGAGGAAATAAGGTGGGACATAAATGCAGTGCAAAAATGGCAGTTAACTGAACTTGCCCTCTAAACTTACTCCATGCAACTTCCCTTGTGCTGCTGAACCGCTGCTCCCTTCAGTGGCAGCTCATGGTGGTCTGTTCCCTGTGGGAAGGCCCTCCAGAATATCAGGGGACACACCAGACCCATGCCAGCAGTAAAAATGATCATGAGGTCACATGATCTGTAAGCGACGAGGGAACACCCCGCTCTCCACTGGTCCTCGCATTTGCCTGACTTGCCTCATGAAGCCCTTTTACTCCAGGACAATTCCCCTTACTGTACTCAGGGAAAAACTGACTTTGGGGTCTCAGGTCACAGAATATTATTGGTCATATTATGAAACTTTGAACAAGCCATACGTGTAACTACTGTCTTGACAATAGGAGCATCCCTTTCTTGACCATCTGTGAGAACTGAGATACTGTAGATATATTCCACACCAGGAGTCAGGCCAGATATGACAATGCTCCCAGATTCGGAGATTACTTCCCTTGGAGCTTCTCCACCTTGGCTTGGTCGCACACCCAGCTATAGGAGGAAAAAAGAAAGAATTGTTTACTTTCAGCTGTGACTTGTATAGGAATGAATCCAATGTTTGTGTTAGAGCAGATTCATTGTAATAAATGGAACCAAAGGTAAGGTAACACTGGACACAACCCAGGGTACATACCCTTGTATGTTAAAGGCTGCCATAGTTTTCCATGGCTAATGCTACCTATCAAAAGCTGGAATCTGCATGAGGACATGCAAAGTAAATCTCAGCTTTCTGAGGATCTCAGCTTTTCTTTCTACAGAAGTTGGTATTTGAATCCTCATGATTTCAGAGAAAATTTTTAGAGGTGATTGGGGAATTAAATTCAACAGAGCTAATGGTGAGAAAGGAAAATGGAAAGGAAGGGGGGAATGTTTTGTGTCTCTATCAGTAAAATATTAGGCATTAATTGCAGCTACTCTTAAGCTGTAGCATAACAATGTACTGAGGGAAGCTGCCTGATCTGGACACTATCTTGCTAAACAAGAATGATATTGGAAATCCTTCTGTGGAGCTCTGTATTCATGGGACTAAATGGGTTTTTTGTGTGCAGAAGATATGGCTTCTTTGCTCTTGTTACCTTTGCATTCCTATCAGTCCTCATTTCTACATTAATGCCTTCATTCCATATTTTCCATGTCTTCCTAAGCACAGACATGTTAACTGTATATCAAAGCCTGGGAAACACTAAGCATTACAGTGCCCAATCATTGTTTCAGAAGTCTTCTTTCTGGGCTCAAAATTAAGAGTTTTCTTTGAATTCATTTTAGATTTCTTTTAGCACAAGCCCTGCAAGCCCTACAGATGATTTAATAGTGGCACCAGGTTGCATGTTGAGGACGTTAAATGCAAAACAGTATTTTCACAATCTCATTTCATCTGAAGTCTTTACGTGTGTGACTTTATTGCTGCATTCCTGCCTTTTTGTTTTAACTAGATGTATTATTTTAAATGTGGCTTTTTTCTTTTGTAAATTAAACGTAATAGCTACTTCTGGGAACTGTTCTGTTTGAGAAGCAGGATACAAGTATACTTAAAAATCATAGCATTTTAGTGTAAGTGTGAGACTTTGCTTTGATTTCAGTAGCTCTTTTGGACCACAATCTCCTTTTACCCTTAATCTGTCTCAGTAGTCTTGAAATGCGGCATTCAAACATGGCACCCAATACAATTGCTACCCTGGATCCTTTCCTTCCCACTGAATGAGTTTGGCTTCCATGACTGCTGTGAGTAAACCATACATGACATGTTACTGGTGGTGGTGGAGAGGAAAGGAAGGCTGTTTCCCTACCTTAAACCCAATTCTTGGCACAGGTGTCCACGTAATGACAATAGATGTCTCAGTTACTTCAGTGTTATAGTGAGGAATTGAGCCTGTGTGTTGCACTGGGAAATGAAATGGAAAAACAGAGCATATATTCTACACCAATAATATTTAACAATATCAAGACACTTAACACAAATAGAGATATGAGCGTGCAACAGATTGCTTTTTATATTGGTCTTCTTGAGTTTCTCTCTGCAGCTTCTGTGTTAATATTTTATTTTATTAATATTTAAATATTTATATCATTTATATAAAATATCTTTTCACTAAAAAATGAAACAAGCAGCATTAGGTATACCTGAAAGCTTCAAAGCAGCGAGGCACCACTCTACAAACCCTTTGAACAAAATCCCCCTGTGGTGCTTTGCATCCTTAGGGAGGTCTGGAAAATCATTGAGGAGGCCTATGTGGAGAGTTTCAGTAGAAAGCACAGAAAGCACTGCAGTTTGCCTAAAGACCATCCTGCGGGTTGGAGTAGGGCTAGGATTAGGGTTTTTAGAATTTCTTAAAGGATCTTGCTACAAAGCGGTTTGCATTCCCCAAACCCCCTTTTTACAGCTAAGGATCACACTTTTGTTTTTTCTTGACAGCCCATGTCCTGACAGCTTAAAAAGAATCCACCCAAAGAGAGAAAAATGTTTAGAGCCCCTTCTGTGCAACGTCTGGGGTTGGCATCTGCTGCCTTTGGCAGCAGGCCTCTCCTTGGACTTTGCCACAGCTGAAGCTACGAACCTCAGAGCTGTGCAACTGCAATTTTGCATAGTTAGACAACAGCAGGAAGAAACTTTTTAAACATGTGAACAATTTGTTGCACATTTAAAAAAAAGACCAGGCAATCCTACAAAGCCCCTGCAGAGGCATCACAAGAACTGCTTGTTCCTGTGAAAACAGGGAACAGTAATGCCAAGTACATGCTCAGTCTTTCTGATCTAAGAAAAGTGTTTTAAAAAGCCCTGGTAAGCCTAAAATGGCTCACAGTTACAGTGGGGAGTGGGAAAGCCAATCAGACACTTCAGGGATGGCTGCGGTGGCTGATTTTTCTTGCTGAGCATGTAATCATCAGACTTCAAGGTACTCATAAAAACAAAATGTCCTGTACTCTCATATCTATTTATACGTATATGTGAGAAGAATTAGTCAATGATTCCTAAAGTGTTAAGCAGGGCAGCGTTCCAGGGCAGAAGCTTGCCCCCTATCTGTCATATACAGTATAACACAGTTGCTCCTGTTCAGAATGCTTATTGGGAGGAGGGTTCAAAATTAGGGGAAGTCAGGGCAGATTCTGTGACTTTCATTAAGGGGCCCCAATCTTTCCTCCCTCAATTCAGGCACTGGAGAGAGATCAGAAACAGGAAGACATTTCTGTATTCAAGTGACAATGAAGGATGTTCGGCACTGTTAGATTTTCAGAACATGGGATGGAGATGGCTGGAAATTTCCAACCTTTATTTAACCACCTTCAGGGATAGAAGCCTGTCATTTAACATTTGCAGATGCCAACCCTCCTGAGCTGAAACTTCACACAAGACTGGTTTTTGAAAGATTAAGTGAAACAACAATCAAGGGTTCCCCATGCTTACAAGTTCTGAAGCTTCCTGTTTCTGGGTTGCTTTGCTGGTTACCCCTGACAGCAACTAAGGACACTGTGTACTCAGTCCCAGGCTGCAGGTTTCTCAATGGGTATTTGGTGACAAAGCCTCCCACATTGTACTGTTTGGGTTGTCCTCCTGTTGTGGGCTCCACTTTAAGTTGATAATTTGTAATACGAGCACGGGGGGGCTTCCAGGTCACCAGCACAGTGGTGTCCGTCTGATTGACAAACCGCAAGTTGGATGGGCCATCGATTCCTGGAAAAGAGAGCCAAGCAACCCTTTTAGGAAACCCTTGTTCTTGCTTTCAGAAAGCATGGAGCAGACACTTCAGACCATTAATTCATCCTGCTATTATGACTTGGTGCTTAGTTAGTTTCCACAGACTGCTACAGGCTATTCTACAGACAAAATCCAGGCCTTGCTTCAAAGACTTGTAATGAGTGTGGCAGCTTGGTAGCAGGTTCCACCAAGACTTAAGTATCCAGGTCATCTTCTGGTTAAGTCTAACTAGAGGAATGGATGTCCACTTCTCCTCAAGGTCTTTGTGAATCCCATGGCAACTACTGAAGTCAGTAGCATTTGGGGTATAGACACATAAAGGCCAATCTTTGTTTATCCAGAAGGAACCCCACCACTTTCAGTGGAGGGTCACCCCCTTGAAAGTGTGCATAGGTTTCCTACCAGAATGTTCATCTGTCTTCCTAACAGTATGGTTGCTTTTGATAGCAGTTGCTCAATTATTTTAATTGCTACAATTTGAAACCTTAATGGGCTTCAGCAACACCTTCTGCATGCCCTGCTTTTCACACAACCCAGTTCTTTATGGTGAACTTGGTCCCATTACTGACAGTGCCTGAGGTGGAATTGCCCACCCAGCCATTGCTTCCTTAAGCCTGAGGGGAAAGAATCAAGCACACAATAGAAATGTAATGCTTGGCACAGTGGACTGCAAAACTGGTTTATTCTTAATGAAAGCATGTTGGCCTCTGAATTAATGAGCATTTTGCAAGTTATAGATTGCAGCTGTAATAAGAAAACATACACTAAAGAGATATGTGCAAGTGCCAACATACACATGCACACACAGGATTTGATTTAAAATCCTGGCCTACTAAACAGTTTTAAAATCTAATGTCCTGAAAAAAGATTTTCAAGTTCAGTAAGACATACTGTTGAACAATAAAGGCACCACATACCCTAAAATGTGTAGTTGGCTTAGCCTAGCCTCTAACTCCCAAATTTCTAAATATTAATTTAAAAAAGTGAAATGATGGAATTTCTGGCAGGGTGCATTTGGAGTCAAGGCCTAAACTGAGATAAAGGAAATATACTCACTGGTTGTTTGCTCTCCAGTCAATGGTTCACTTTCTGTGCTTTGTCCTAGGGCATAGATCTTGAAAAGATAGGTTGTTCCAGGCAAAAGATCTGTGACCTCAGCAAAGGAGTACCTAGTAACAGGCAACCTCAGCCCATGTTGTCCTGGGCGGTTAACTGGAATTACTTCTACGCGATAGCCGGTCACTGCACTGTCTGGGGGCGTCCACATGATGGTGACTTTGACATCACTGACTTCCACAAACTGCAGATCTTTGGGGGCAGGTATTGTATCTAACCAAAAAGATGTAGAAAGTTTATTGAATTGCAATAGTGCCTGCATAAAGTATGAGCTGCATAAGGAAAAAGGTAATCCTGACACTGTATTATCACAGTTGCCCTTTCCTTTCTGACCCATTTATTATTAACATCTTTCAGTGTTTCTGGAAACTCTGGAGATAATCCATTAAAATTCTCTCACTGGAGATGAAACTTTAGAGCATACAATAGTGGCAAGTGCAGAAGCTGTAGTTTGCATCACCTCTCTTTACCCAGCACCCAAACTTTGGAAGAAACGAAGCACCGTTCACTGGCAAATGGGGTATATTAGCAAGTCCCTAACACACCAGGAGAGAAAGAGTAGAAAACAGAAAAGTAACTGGGAAACAAAAATCTTTCATTCTCTGAAATAAGACCTAACATATGTGCATCCCTCAGGGGCTCAAATTTTAACAAAAAAGCCACAAGTCCTAATAGATCCAATGCGTGCTTATAGTCCAGAAGGAAGGACATGTGTGCAGGCCACACCAAATGTCTGGGCAGAAAGACAGCTTATAAAATGCATGGCTTGGGAATGAGCCTGAGAAGAAAGAATTCGTTACCTTTCATTCCTGAAGCTGTAGGAAAGGCAGCTGAGAAATCATTTTAGATGCCTAGAAGCCAGTGATACATGCTGTGTTCTCACCTGGCTGGGGCACTCCTGTGGTCTTCTGCTGAATAAAAATAGGAGTGCTCTCCTGGTTCTCCTCCACAGCATAAATGCTGATGTTGTACTGAACCCCAGGCATCAAGTCACTGAGAGTCACTGAGGTCGCAGACTCGGGCAGGTTGAGTTCTGTACTGCTGCCCTCCACAGAGGGAGTATAGACAATTCGGTAACCTAGTATGGATGGAAATGTGTGGTCAACACAGCTGTACCTGACAGAGCAGAATGGAAAATCTGTTCACTCCTATGACGAACCTACCAAGTCCTTATTTGGTCCTGCATAGATTTTACTAATAGAACCCACATAAGATACATGTTAAGAAGAAAGGCATGAACTAAATGTTACCCAATCCTCAGCTTCAATTAGACAGGCTGCAGGGAATAGACTGGACAGTTAGTTATTCTTGGCAAGCTTTCCAAGGTCAGGGGTGCACCAGCTCTTCTGAGGAGGACTGTGAAGGAGGTGCAGGGGTGTGGGAACTGGGGAGGGGAGGAAGATGGTGAGCCTGTCTCAAGAACCTCTGCCCCAGATTCTCAGACTAACCATGTGAACAGACAGAGTTTGGAAGAGAAGGGGACAAAGGAAAAGAGGAAGATAAGCCCATGCCCTGTCTGGTCCCCACGACACAGCCTTGGGGTAGAAAAACTACCCAGTTAGGAGGGCTGGTATAGGTCTTGGAGGATGGCCCTTCTCCAGAGGAACCCACCCAGAGGAACGAAGCCCAGCTTTACTGAAAAGCAGTTTTGAGTTTGGGTTCAACTAATCACTTTGTTCATGCATGGAGACTAGTATTTTGGTTGTTGTAACTTGTTAGCTGTGAATTTGCAATGAAGAGCTATTTTGCAAAGAGACTGTTGTTTTGCAAGCCTGAAACGAATAAGGAGAAACCTAGCTCCTGCCACAAACAGGTCAATCTGTATGCCCTTTCCACCCTTGAAATAGGCAATTTGCCTTAAGCTATACTGCTCTGTGCTCAACTCTCAACCAAAACCAACCAACAAGCACCTGGCCCAAATTTTAAAACAAACACAGGCAAATGAGGCCAACCTGTAATGGGAGCTTCTGGTCTGCTCCAGCTCACAAGGATTGATGTGTCATCAACATTTTCTACAGTGTGTTCAGGAGGGGCATCAGGTGCTGTTGAAGGAAACAACAACAAATAAGAAAGCCGTATCACATAACGGGAAAGGTCGAAATCTGAGGAGGGAACTTTGTCGCCATGCCTGCCAGATACGGTGTGCACAAACATACCTGTTGTCTGGGTGGTTGACAGGATTAGATTTTCCCCACCTTCTTCTGAAATCTGGTAGACTTTGATTATGTAGTTGCGACCAGGAAGCAGGTTGGGGATGCTTACAGAATTGACAGTGTTTGGAAGATCTTGAATAAGAAGAAAAGACAAATTGGAAAGGTTTGTGATGTGTTCGTAAAAGTTCTTTTACATAAGTACATAAAATGATTATAGGAGCAAGGAAACTGGAGTATCATTAGAGATCATCCTGTCTCATTAAGTTAAAAAATCCAAATCAGATTTCAGTGGTAACAAGTCATGTTAAATGACTTCTGCTTATTTTTTTCTGATCTGGAGAGGGATTATTGGGGTGGGGTGGGGTCTAAAACTCATCTCTGGTCAGCATGTTATCTGACACTTTGCCTGGATATGCATCTGCTAGCTCAGTTTTTTTGGAATGTTTGGTCATTCAACATATGCAAAATAAATTCATAATGAAAATAATCAGGTCTGTAAGACTGAAGGTTCCAATTCCACACACATTTAGTGTAAAAATGAATGACTTCTGCAGCAATCATTCTTGAGCATATGATTCACCTTCATTAGGCACTTCAGAACTAATGGAGTGAAATTGTCACTTGGCAAGAAACTAGCTGCATAATTTGCCTAATTGTAGCCAACAGATACAACTGTAAGTAGGTTCAGCAAGCACTCTATAATCCCACTATCTCTGCTCTTGAAAGCTGGATTTTGATTAGCAGTTGTCATGCTAGACAAACTCTGTAGCTGTAACAGAATTAATTGTATGTATCCCATCCAAGGCTGTGGCTCCTTTGATAAGCCAGATACCTTACCCAGATACTTCGGCTCATCACCCTCTTCACTCAGTTCATATTCCACACGGAATCCTGACACGGTGTCTGATGCAGAGACCCAGGAAACCACAAAGCTGTTGGCCGTGATTTCTGTGATAGATTCAGAGATGGATACCACAGAAGGTAGAGCAGTTGTTTCACCTGCCTCACGACTAGCTGCAAAGCAAAAACATCAAGGCATAAGAGGGCAGCATTTTCTCAGAAGGAAAACAAGAAGAGATCAAAAGCAAGTTCCTCTGTTACTTTTTTACTTTATGCAAAAACAGGTTTTTGCAGCAAATTTTCTTTTTGTAAATTAAAACAAGTAGTTAAAAGCTGATACCACAAAGAATACAGCATGTTCAGAATTTCACAAAAGTACATGGGGGAAAATACAATCAATGTCAAAATATGATAGATGGGCACATTTTGTGACTCTTAGTCATGTAACAATAATTAAAAACAGTATGTACAGGGACAGATACATTTTAAATATGGAGTGCATTTAAACAGCCAGGAATATATTCAGGCAGAACTCTGGGTTCTTACAGACAAGGCAATTGCAACAGCATCATTCACAGAATTTTATGGGAGGATCTGAATTTCAATTTGTATCCCTCCTCTGTTTTCTCACCACATATTCCTCCTTTTGGCTTACTAGAAAATCCATTAAGGAATTAAATATGGACAGCTGGACAATGCCTCTTCACAGTGCCCATGTGGACACGCTCTTTGATTCTGGACAGGGACAAAACGAAGAACATAACTTCTGCATAAGGACCTGAATTAAGACTTATGCTTGTCGCTTTTACTGGTACATCTGTTCTACGACATTAGTGTCAATGCAAGGACAACACCACACATAAGGCGGATGCATGCTAGCAGAAGCTCTAAATGATGCTGTAACAAGCTTCAGAGACCAGAAAAGGAGCAAAATGAGCACGAATGAAAGGGGTCACAGAAGCCCATGGCTTGCACTTGCAGCCGAATTCCCCTTTTGCAATATCACTTACTTGAAACAGCAGTTGTACTAGAGGTGGTAAATTCGAAACGGGTGACTTCTTTCTGGCCATAATGCTGCACACTAATAAGCTGCCCCTCATAAAGTACACCAGGTCTGAGGCCTGAGATAGTGTAAGAATTCAAATAGCCTGGGATTTTGGCCTCTTTCCATGGCACCCTGGATTTTTTCTGAAAGGAAAAATGTAGTGGATATCAGGTTAAGAACACATCTGCAGCAGAAGTCTGCATAGTCATAGATCCTTGACTAGTCATAGATCCTTGACTAGGATTTCAAGGCAAGCAAAAATGTGCTGGATGCTTGCTTCTGCTCAAGCTGGGTTGTCCCCTCCTGCCCAGCTGGCTCGGGTTTCTCATTCTAAACATGTTGTTTGTCAGTGATCCACTGTCATTTTACATAATCTGTTAGCTGAAAGGTGGAATATAAACCTAATACAAGCAGAGAAACGAGCCAAACAAAAACACTCTGACTCAACACATCCAAAACAGAATGTCTGAGGTAGCAGTTCACATGACATATTTCCCTTTAGGGTGCTCACAGCAAACTCTGCTGTTCTTGGTAACCCTTTCCAAGGGAAAGCATGATCCTTGGAATGGCCACTGTGTAAGGTTTCAGTTCAGGGGCGACAGGGCTCAGGCCCCTTAGTCTGTGAGCTGCCCTGGCCGCTTGCCATAGAGAGAATCCTTCCACTGACATCCAGTGAACTCCCGCACCACGACTCCAGGTGGGCCCAGCAGCACAGGTGACGGGCTCCATGAGCTCCTGCTCTGACTCTAGTTCCTCTGTCAGGGCAATGCATTGCTCAGGGGCAGGCTGAGCACAGGGCTCCAGGTTGTGCCAAATGGAAACAGGCTTTTCAAAAAGCATGAAAACCTAAGCAATGCCTTCTGCTCAGGGAAATGCGCATGCCTCCGGCAGTTCAGTGCCCTGCTCAATAGCAGCTTTCACCCCATTCTTTTCAGCTTGAAAAGGGGTCAAGGATGGATCACAAAGTGAATGAAGTGATGCCACAACTGCCCATAGTCAGTCAGATTCGGCTGACGTTTGGCATCTGATAACAAATATTTTCCCCTCACTCATAACAAGGGAAGGGAAATCATCCCTGTTTCCATGGCAATAAGACCAGCACAAGTGCCCTGCACTGAGGCAGCTTCATTTGCGCAGGAAAAACAGGAAGGGCCATGTGGTAATGTGCCCCCTTTACCCCCGTGAGAACATGCCCTCTCTGTTCTCACCCTTCCCATTAAAAAGGATCATGAGAAGAACCTGGAGAGGACCTGGAGAGGACCTGTTCACCCTCTTGCTTCAGACCATGCTTGTAGGATATGCAGAACAGCAGGACATGTAGTCAAGTGTTAGGTGAATTTAAGGCTAGAATATACATTACTTCTCTGGTACTGCCATAATAGACTGTGGTTACAAACTGCTTGCTTCTGTTTTACAGCAATCTTCTGAATTTTCAGTCTGGAAAAAAGCTGCTCTATAAAATAGAAGTACTTACTGGTTTCCAGCGGAGTATGTAACTGGCAATGTGAGAGGATTCGGGTGCAACCCACTGGACAGGATGAGAATCAGGATGAATTGGAACATCTGTGATAATTACTTGGACAGGACCACTGGAACCTAAGATGGAAATGTTCTGCATTAGTTTACTTAGACCTTAATCTGTGCTTCTTTTCACTGCATCTAACAATGAGGTTCCTCCCCGTGACGGAGGTTCCGGCAATGTGCTTTTGGACCAGTGGGCCTATGAGAATTGTAATCCATCAAAATGCTAGAGTAGTATGAGGACTAGGTTTAATTTAATACACTTCACAGGACACAGTATCATTCTGAGTTATTGTGAAAGCATGTGATATAAAACACATCACATGTGTTTTCTGGCAATGATCTTCTGAATCAAACATTATGGCTTTAAACCTTTCTTTCAGCTGAATGGAAGCCACTAATGCAAAGGTCCTCCCCTCCCACTGCACAGCCACACATATGTCCCCCATGGTTGCTCTGGAGGAGAGGGAATCTGTTCATGCAGTATGGAATTTAGGCTTACTAATCCACTTGCAACAGCAGGTGGCTTCCTAGTGTTTTCTTAGTGTGCACACTTTCTAAGTAGGAAGACCAGAACATCTGATGTGCCCCTCAGATAAGTTTAGACGAAATCTGGAGAGAAAGCAGAATGCGTTGCTATGCAGCATCCAACATGACCTGGCATCTTGTTTTAAGGACTCTTACACAATGCCGTGTCCCCTTTGCACACCTTTTCATCTTATTGACCCTCGGACAGGCGAGAAGCTATGCTAAAGCATGAACACCAGATGCAAAGGAACTGGTTCATTTCATTGGCTCTTTAAACAAGATACAGGACGGTTGCCATGTGAGAACACAGAGGAGGACTTTCCACATGCATCCTATACATCAGTTCTCAGAACGTGAATATGAACTTTCTCACCAGATCTGTTTTCACATTTTTATTCCAAGAACTCAGGACTCCCTTTTTTTACAGCCAGACTTGGGCTGAGGCATCGGGCCAAAATATGTTTATGTTAATTGCTGAGCTAGCAGTGATGCCCGGGATTTAAAGACTTAAGTAAGTGTACGGTGGAGGGTCGCCAGGACCACAGCACATGGAAGGAAGGCCTAACCCTTTAGCCCCTCTCAGAAACCAGCCCCAGCAACTGCTTCTCATATGACTCACTGCAGGGCAGGATTTTTCCCAGGCTGCAGCTGAGGAGAGAAGGCTAAAGCCCTTCATGCTGCAGTTGCAGTCTCCCCACCCCCGCAACAACACGTAGCTTATTTTTAATTTTGTTGAAAACCCAAATGTAGCTCCAATTATACAACTGATGTAGCATGTAGTTTGACCCTTGGTGACTGGCTGAGGTCACTCAAAAATATCAAGCTGGTAGCACTTGTTTTTAGTTTTACTGATGTTCTACATTTCCCCTTTTTCTTTTTTAAGCACCTGCATAATTATTTCCAGTTAAAAGCTGATTCTGTCTAACTTTTGAACAGCCCGTGGCACTTCCTGAGCAATTCCCACAGCTCTTCGGCAAACAACTATCTGACTCTGGGGGCACCTCTGTTATTTCAGCAATTAAATTCTTCCTTTTAAACTTTTAAAAAAGTTTTCCTTTGCAAACTTGTTTAGACAACTGTAGGACAAGCATACCTGTGGACACTTTAAAAAGCTTCCATAAACACAAAGCTGAAACCATTTCAAAGCTAGCCCAACTCCCCAGAAGACCCTCAGGAATGAGGCTGTTTGATTTACTTACACATTTACCTTCAGCCTTGTATCGAAGAGAGGCCTTGGCTCCCCCTCTGAGGGCAGACATATTTCACATTGCTCCACAAGGTGTTTGTTTTAACAGCCAGATGAGAGTGACTGGGGCTCAGCAAGCAGGATTTCAAAAGCTAACCAAAGGTACCCAAAAGTTTGGGTCTCACTTTTTCCTTCCAGATAGACCAGAATGTGCTGTTTCTCTCAGGCTAATATTACCTTTGAAGGCAGCAGAACTCATTTCAGATCCTGTAGACCACAATCCACCCTCCAGGTGTGGTACTGAGTCTCCTTTCTACAGGTAAACAATCCCAAATCAACACTGGCTATTTCTGACTTTCTACCCCAGAGCTGTTACCCTGAGATGAGTCTTCTGCCTGCAGAAGCAAGGCATCCCAGGGTGTTTCAGCGCAATGCACTTGCCAATTCTCTGGGGTCATCCATGTGTTTCTCTATGGAACTGTGAATCCACTTGTCCAAGACACCTTTGCTAATGCTCACTTTAGCTCTAAGAACCTGCAGCTTAAGGAAGTTTGTCTTCTATGTTCTACCACTGATGCCACCCTTCTCGCTTCCACTGAAGAGCTGTTAACTCAAAACAGTCATGGGAAGGGCCAAAATCTTCTCATCAATGTCCCATCAAGCATGATTGTCTGTGGGATCACTCTGGTGCTTTCTAGGACTTTGTACTAAACTATGTATGAAATGTAATGTGTACTGGTAACGTTGCTAGTTGGCCTCAGGGCAACTAACGGAAAATCCAGATACTAGTTTAAGAAAGAAATAAACTTATTGCATATGTGTGGCAGCTACTTCTTTCCTTTTTTTAGTTTCATATAAATCTCTCAGTGTAGAAGTGTTCACATCTTGCATCAATTTAGAATAGTGCACATTTTGCCAATTTTCTCCTGCTAAATTTGTAAGAATGGGACCCAGTCCTCTGCTGATCTCTACTTCCATGCAGCTCACAAAGCAAAGCTTAAATTTGTTTGCTTTATAATTGTTCTTTTGCCTTTCCAGAAAAGTTGCCAAGGCAGTGTACAACAAAGCAAACACAAGAGTAATAGCATACAAATGGAACAATCAAATGTAAAACCATATTAAAGCAACATGAAAGCAACAACATTAAAAACACTAAGAGCAATTTAAAATGCTCAATTGAAAAATGCTGAAAAAGTGTTCATGCCATTCCCATGGCAAGAGCTGTTGGGCTCTAAAAATCTATCACCTGATAGTTTCACTTTTCCTGGAAGCAAAGTTGATAAATTAGATAAACATGATATAGTTTATCTAGTTCTCAGTTCTCAATACTGTTTGTTTAAAGTGAATAATTAAAAGATCCCATTATCTTGAAATTCTTACCATCGCTTTACTGCACTTACAAAGTTACATTTTCAAACTACACCTACAACCTTCCTGAAGGGAAGATATCGGTAGGCTTAAGAAACCTGAGGCTACGTATCTGGAGTCTGAGACAAAGGGAGGATCTACTTACTTATTTATTTACTTTGCCTGTCAAAAAGCAGTTCTTGGGGTATATTTTAGCATTTTTGCAAAGTAAAAGAATTTATGTGAAGATTTATAGGCTATTGTCATATTGTGAGCTGCATAAAAAAGTTTTCTTTGCTAAGGCAGCAGAACATATTCATGCAGTCACTCCAAATGCTATTGTGATAACTGTGCAGGTGAAATATTAATTTGACTCACATTTTGTGTTATCACATGATTTTTTTAGATATATTATTTGCAATGGTTAGTAGTCAAATGCAGTAAAAGGTCTAACTCACAGTTATCTACAACCAAGTTCAAAACACATGGAAAAAAGTAGCTCTATTCCACTCATGTCAGTGTCTTGAAATATAGTGACGCCTCATACTTCAAACTTAATTCCTTCAGGAGGCTGTTCAAACTCTGAATTGTTCAAAGTTCAAATCAATTTTCCCCATTAGAAATAATGGAAAGTGAATTAATCCGTTTCCAGATCCTAAACAATACTCTTTTCGATAAACTTAAACATCAAATATGGCCTCCTGAAATGAATTAAGTTCAAAGTATGAGGCATCATTGTATTAGAATTTATGTTAGTAATGTTATATTAATGCATTGACACAGTGACTGTGTTTTTTTCACTGCATGGGAAGTTCGAATGTAGAAGCACCGTTTAAACTTCGGAGTGATTTTATCTTGACTTTAGCATTCAAACTCTGAATGAAGTTACACTGATTCACCACTGCATGTTAATCCTCACAGAAAAAGAAATGAGGCCAAGGTTATTATGCCAGAAGTGTAGAAAAACCTAGACTAAGTAGTAATGGATTATTGGGCAGGAAGGCTAAGTGGCAATATCTCTGCAGCCCTGGAAGCACTGCCTCCACAGCACTGGGGCAGCAGCCTCACTGCAGGAGTGGCAGTGGCAAGCCGAAGTCAGTGGTTGCACTGTCTTGGTAACAGCTCAGGGCCATCAGGGGCAACCACAATGTCACATTATGATACTGATTAGGGTGGTTTTGTGCACCAATAACGTGATCTTCCATGGAAACATGGCACGTGGATTTGTCTCATTCTCAGAATCTGATTGCTAAGCTTCACGTTGATGTTCAGAATTTGATCCAAGAAACGTTAGTTTGCAACCCAGTTCATTTTGTTTGACCAATTTTGTTTTTCCTCCAGCATGTGATTTAGTTGAAGCCCCATCGGTGAGGGTGTTCAGGGATAGGCTAGACATACACATGGCGGGCATGTCATGAGCAGAGCCAGCTGGAGCCAGGGGTCAGACTAGATGGCTTGGGAGACCCCTTCTGACTCGCTGTTTCTATGTGTCTTTGCTTAGTTCCATATCACTCAGGCAGGTGAGCTATCTACATGGCTCACAACCTGGTGGAATGCAGCTTGCTCATTCCTGTCTTTTGCTTGCAGCTCACTCTAGCTCTGGACTGTTTGGAGCAGTATGTGAAAAAATGATGCACAGATTACCCTGCCTTGGAATGAGTGGAATTAACTACTTTTCTGAACTTTCTGGCAACACAATTCACCATTCCCTTGCTAACAAAATGCCTGCCCTAACAAAAATTTATTGCATCATCTTAATTAGTGTAACAATCTGCAAGCATATGAGTTACATACAGGATCTCAGCATTCATGTCAAATGCCGCCTAATATTTCATCAGCAAAACGTATCTAAGAAATAAACATCATCTGCTGACAAAAGAATCTGCTATTTCATGGTTCATGTCCCAGAATTGCCACCCTGAAGCAATAACCCTTGTTTACTCATGCCTGATTTATTCTGTGGGACCAGTATGCCATAATCTACTTTTAGACATTACAGGTATACTCCTCTGTGAACCCTAAGAACTAAAAACCTGCAAATGCAGTTGTTAAGCACAAAGGTTAATTTGATAGCTTCCCTTATCAATGTACATGTCATGGACAAAGCAGAACAAACACACTTATGTTGACCATGCCTATGGAGAGTTCCTGGAGGTCAATCACAGGACAGTTCAAACAAATTTGTTTAGAGAACTGATTGTGACAGGCATGATACACTAACAAGACTAATGGCAATAGTTCTGGTTGCTGCAATCATTCTACAATTAAAATATGCATCAGCTAATGAGACAGACTGAAAACTAGTAGAACACTGAGGCTAAAAAACTGAACTATAGATTAGGGAGAACTCCTGCGATTTTCATTCTTCCACAGAATAAAAAATCAGCTAGTGAGGTTTTATGCTTCATTGTCTCTCCATGCCAAATATCACCAGACAAGTTTTCCTTCAAAGTGAAACTTTATGAAGCATGGGAACTCTGCCAAGCAAAATGTTTTATCACTTATGAGAATTAGCAAGAACAAGAAACTGGAAAACTAAAGGGAAGTAAGGTGTTTTTAGGTAAAATTTAGAATTACCTTGGAAATCGATAAAGCTAAGCTTCCACTAAAATTACACTGATGTGAAAGGAAAGCCCTATGACTAAACATGGGAGCCAAAAAGCATAATTAAGTGGAAACAGTGTGAAATGCATGTAAGGTGATTCTTGCACGGGGTCTCATTGAATATGTGTTGGTCTTTTACTTTTTCCCTCTCTTGCTCTCTGGTTAAAATGTGACTAAAGCTGTAAAAGACAAGCTTCTTATGAAACCCAATTCTGTGCCAGAGACACAGGTCTTTACATAGTACTGCACACACAGAATCACATACAAGAAAAGCTGCTCAAAAGATATGCACCAGGTAATTAAAAAAGGGATCCTTACTTGGGTATGTACTCAAAGGCTGGCAGTGCCATTCTCCAATGCCATGGCCATAACAATAGCACTGGTACCTGACACCGTGAACATGCTTTTCCCATGAATCCCCAATCTGGTAAAAGGCGTGGCTCTCTGAGTCTTGGCACTGGTCTAAAATCAAGAATACAAGAGAAAAAGGTGTTATTTCAAGGTCACTTCAAGCATGGGGCTCCTCAGGTTCACAGATTAAGCAAGTCCCTTTCCATATTCCCACGTGGCTCCTTCAAATCGGTACATGAGCTTGACTCCAACCTGCTTTTGATGTATCATGAGAGCGCTTTGCTTGTTCTTTCATGGACTTGGCTTTAATGGGCTCCCACCTACCCACCACCCTGCCAGGGAGCATGGTAATGAGACAGGCCTAGCTACTCCGCTACAGCCCAAGGTTGCTGGGCTAGCACTTCCACTGGGGTGTGATCCATCAGAAACAAATCTTACTTGGTACACGGTGACCCATTTGTATGACTAGCAGGCACCTTACAGCTGCTCGAACAGCAGAGATGTGGCAGGTGAAATGTTCCTCACCAGTGCAGTCCTACTTTCTTTGCCACATGCATGAGCTACACCAGAAAACAAGAACTGGAAGATTTAAAGCAGCTGGAGTTTCCCCAAGCAATTCATTTTTTTTCCTACTGAGGAAAGCGTAAAGGAAAAAAGAGGCCCCTTCTCCCTCAGTGCTTCTTTGGCCTCTCCCCTCGCTGAAAAGAGGGAAAGGTGAAGCATTACTGCATTTCACTGCTGCCTGCTGAAAATGGATGGTCTGTGCATTTAAGAGCTGGAGGACACATCCTGCACAATCAGGTGATAAAGTGCTATTGGATCTGTGCACAGTCAGGTGAAGGTTCGAGGGGTCAAATGCTCTCCTGTGTAAAATACTCCCCAAAGGTGAAGGTTAGACAAATGAATCTGATGTTCAGTGCACTGTCAAAATGATACCTGGGTCATAAAGAACAGCCCACTCCTCACACCAAGCCCTTTTTAACCCACACTCTCCACTCTTCAGCCACTATGAGAATAAACTCTGCGGTATCCCCATAGGTTATTCCTTACTGCTACTGTTGCTTTGGCAGACAACACAAAAAGATACTGTGTAGTGGGCAACCTCCAATCAGCGGAAGATAGCTGCTCGACTCCTTTTCCTACAGACCCTGATCTCCACAAGGGTGTTCAGACCTCTCTGCTCTCAGCTTCTAACTGCAAAGAAAGCCATGTCTGTCTTTCTGGGTGGGCGCTAGAATCCCCAGAGATACACAGTTTTCAGTGCTAGTCACGCATATTAATGTCTGAGCATGTACAAGCTTCTCTTGATCCTATAAACGGCCAATCTCCTCTCTGGAACCAAGTTCCAGTCTCATCTCTGGGCAGAGTATCCTTTCACATCTCAACATGAAGGAGGCCTTTTGAAGACACAAAATGAAAAAAGAGGCAGTTTCTGAACTTTATTTGGTTTTGTTTGTTTTGTTGCTGGTGATAGCAGCAGGCAGAAGTTCAGTAAACTCTTTGACCATCCAACTAGAAGCCTTCATTTACAGTTACAAGAGTTCTTTCTGAACATCTTGATAGGGTCTGAATGGACAAGACAAGAGAAAAGATACAGGTGGATAAAGTTATGCATACATACAATCTAATATGGTCAATTTGAACACAATAATCTACTCCCTAACCTCAATTAGAGAGATCCCACACTGGCTCTAGAAGAATATATCCTGTTGGTATTTATTTATACATCATAGGAAACACCGAGTGATAGCAAAAGGTCTGTGAACATTTTGCTTACATGGAAAGGGAGCAAGGAAGGCTGTACACTCAAAGAAACTGGAAACTTTTGCAAACTTTTAGTTTATACATGGACGCAAGTATCAGAGGCACTGATTATATTTAGGATAAGCCAAAAGTTTTAAAAGCTTATGACACTGAGAATTAACTAATGCCTCACATTTCCTCTTGACCAGACTGCAGCCTTCTCACACAAGCAGTTACCTTTGTTTAACTTACACACAAAGTTTAACTTTTTAAAATCCTGTTATTGGCCTACAATACCCTTCATGCAGCACTGAAAGTAGCTCCAAGTAGCATCTGCTGCTCAAAATGAGCAGGGCACCCCAGTTTACCATGCAGTTTGTCACTGCCATTGCCCTGTTGTTTCCACGCCACTGCTCAGCATTCCTGGCGGTGGCCAGCTATGTTTATTCTTGTAAATGTTAGAGTTTGTTTTCTGCTATTTCGCAGTCCACTGAAGAGAGCGTATTTGTGGTCTCTGTAATTCCAGTCTAGACCAAGAGCAACAGATTTAAGAAAAAAACTTGACTCTGAAATTATAAGTAATTGTGTTAGCTTTGGTGACCTGCCTTCAAATTTACTTTAGTGTAACATAGATTAGAACTTTATTAATTCATTTAACTAGAAGCAAACTAAAACTTCCATTGGAGCAAAACTGATGATAAAGCCCCACCTCCATTTACAAAATTTCCCAGTTCATTTTCAATTAAGTAAACACCTCTGTTTCTCAAGAAACCATTTTTCACAAGCTCACATTAACTAAACTTCTTTAGGACACAGCTGGGTGAATCTCTGCAGAAAGTTTAGAGAACAACTTTACTAGTACTCTGGGAAGTACTGCTAGAAAAATAAATATAAAAGCTCCCTAAGGATTAATTAATCAGAGATCAAACATCTAGGTATCATCACTCAATCAGAATCTGGGGAGCTTTGTGCGCCAGAAAAGGAACCTGCTCATTCTTAGAAAGAAATAGTTTTGATTATGGCTAAGTTCAGGAATGCTGTTAACACAGCTCAACCATTCTGTATTAGTCCTAGCAAAGTATAATAAACTCCAGATAAAAAGGGCTTAAACTCAGGTAAGACAATACTTGTTAGAAATGTCTCTCATTCTTTTTTTATTTTTGGTTCAAGAGAACAGAAGATTTCATGATAAAATTTTCAAACTGTGTTTTCACTCTTCTGTACCAAAGTGAACCATATAAGATTCTCCACAGATTAAAAGAGATCTGAAGTAAAAATAGAACTGAGGAAGGAGCAGCTGCCTGGTTGACCAACAGCTCATGAACCTGGCTGAAAGCATATGAAAGCAGGAACAATACACTAGGCCTGGAACAATATACGAGGGACTAGGCCCCAGATTTCATCCTGACTGGATGACTGGCAGGTTTCCAGGTCCTGATGGGTCAGAGGGAATGTTTTGGAAAAGCCTGTTTTGTCCAAGAGGTCTGTGGTCAGAAATCATGAATCTCTGCCCCTAGGCTTTAAAAAGATACAATTGTACCTCTCTTGGCACTGGTATAATTGCAAACAGAGATTAGTCAGAGCCTTGTGAGGATGCCTAGCTAGGTATGTCAAGAACATTTTAAAAACTGTTAAGTGCCCCTATAGATCATCAAGAATCCAGATTTGGCATTATTTGAATTTCTCAGACATCGGGTTTGAACTGGCTACAGCAAAAATAAACAGAAAAGCATATTTGGTTGCATGAGCTGATGTTGGCATGCTTTATAACACCTTGTCCACATGAGAATATGTCTTAATTAAAGATAATTAATGGCTGCGATTCAGAAGGGCAAGCACGGAGAGTTGTGTATAAAATGGGACCTGTAAGCCCTGCATCCAAATACTGTGAGAGGTGGGATTAAATTAAGTTAAATTAGGAGAATCCTGCCCAGGGATACTTGGTGACTGATAACAGCAGAAAACACTCTGAAAAGGATAGACTGGCCATATTTCTAACTCCTTATATTAGTCCACTTATTCAACCCGACTTATCATGCTAGTTGCCATTTAGCAAAAACCTGAATGAACTTACCCACAGGATCACATTTCCAGCTTCCTCGGCCATGGCCAAAGCACGTACAGTTCAGCATGTGTCCTTCATCATGACGTTTGTGGAAGGTCTGGTTAACATCATAGGTTATCCCATCGACTATGCACTGGTCTGATTTAAGAAACAAACACATTTGTTTGTCCCATTGATTACTCTGAACAAATACTGGCTGCAGCAGAACATGTTGTTCACTGAGTGATGCTCAGGTTTTTCCAAAGAATAGCAAAAAGGCAGGAACTTCATGTAGCCAGGCATTTCACATGACGACTGTCTTCTACAGCCTAGGCAACCACATGCAAATGTAATAGGCTGGATCCAATTGCATTCCTCCATTCACAGAAGGGGAATAAATGCAGAGGAAAATCACAGAAGGAGAGATTACTTTCATCAATATTGATTTATTTTTGGTTTTTATTTATGTTTTTTATTGTAAGCTGTCCCAAGATGCTAGTGGTGGATGGGTTAGAAAAGCGATAGATAGATAGTCTTTCCCCCTGAAAATATGCCAATTTCTGCTGGATCCAAGCCCCTTCTACAAATTAAAGGGCAATATATATGTAGAAGGGAACTGCTGGATTCAAAGCATGCACTAACTCCTCAGTAGGTATCTAGGATCTGACTAAAATATACCCCATGACTCAAGTTTGCATTTTTCCTGGCACAGAGATTCTGATACAGAAAATAACATCTACATGGTTTGCAATTTCTATAAAATGCTGGATTCTCCAAACACCTTATTCAGCTGTGAGTTCACTATCATATGTATTCAAGGATTTAGTTAAAAGATCAAGGCACAAAGTAAGTCTTGAAGAGTATGTTCATTTTGCACTCTCTCTGGTAGCATCACTTTTTTATGCCTATTTGGTACTGAGACCGACTACCCAGTAGTTACAAATGATACTGAATGTTCATAAAAATGCTCTAATCCAGCTTTTCCTGGATGGGTGCTGTCCAGATGCTTTGGATTACTTTTTCTAGCATCCCTGCCCTGCTACTGGTTGTTTGATGTCCAAAGCATCTAGAGGGCCCCCAGCGGAGGACAGATGCTCTATTCTGTAGTTTCTTTCCTGAAAAGCCAAAGCACACCTCTCCTTGTGCTATCTGTCAGTTCTTTTAGGATGCATGAAATTAATTTTGATCCCTTAATAGCAATAAAATAGGCATAAATTCTGAATGGCCATGAAGAAATGTCAAAGTAATTAGTAATTCCAGGAGTAGCCCTGTCGTGGCAGAGTAGTACAATGAGTGATCACTAAAGGTGTCTATACTTCCACAATACAAACACAGGGAGCTGGGCTGCATCTTAGCTGCAGAGTTTATGACAAACTTTGTAGGCTGCCTGTCCCATTAAATTATATCCAGTTTCAGCAGCAGCTCTGTCATCTTTCTTCCACCCCCTCCTTCTTCTGAATGTAATCCACGGGTGTAAGCCAAATGTAGGATAATCAGCTATGAGCACTCTTCCCTTAAAGTTTTATTTACCTTTCATGCTGCCTAAGTGCTTCTCTACTCATGCTCCAAAGGACTTTCAATAGCATGCTCAGCCTACTTTTCCTACAGATTAGAGATTTCTACCCAGGTGGTCTTTTAAAAAATCACTAAAGAAGAGCAAAGTAGCCATGGCATGTTCCACAGCTGCTTTTCAATTTGTCAAACTCTCCCAAAGGAGGCTTTATCGACATGTTACCAAAAGGATACAGACCAAGGATGCTGCACTAAAGTTTCTCAGATGATGCTTAGACAGATTAACATGCACGGACTTCATTTGCACACTTCCTCCGGTTTCAGAAATTCAGGAGGGTTATATGCTCTTTGTTTATTGGGCTTCAAATACTAAAAACAAATTGCAAGTTCAGAGACGACAGTAGGGGAAAATGAAGAGTGCAGGTCTGGATGACAAAATCAGTCACCATTCCAAGGGATGGAGCAGCATAGAAGAGGAATGGCAGGAGCGCAATCTGAGAAGCTTACATTCCCTACTCGTGCTTTGAAAATGGGTGTAGAGAAGCGATCAGGTAATGGCTGCATTTCCACCCTCTTTGTCATGTGTGCATACTGAGAGTCATAGCTTTATTTCACATTCCTCTGTGACCATCCATAGGCTTGATGGCCTGCAAGGATTATCATGTACCACTGGAGAGGGAAGGTAGGGACAGTCCTGTAATTTACACTATCATGACAGCATGCAAAAGGGCTGCCACAGTCACAAAAATGGCAGTGACTACACTGCCCTCCCTCCCCATCCAGAGGCCAACATGGTCTGAACCAAGCCAAGGCAGTGAATAAGAGGTTAAGATATTGCTGTGGGAGATTGTGCCTCAGAGCCTCTGAGATTTCCAAGAAATGAGATTTTCTATCAGGTACTATATTCCTCAAGAAAGGTCTGTAGAAAATGAAAAGCCTTGACCATTAAACTTGTATGCCAGCATTTTGTAGAGATGCCTTGCCAAATCACTGAACCAGCATCTCTTCTTTCTAAGGCCAATGGGATGTTCTTCCCTAGTGCAAGGATTACCAGCTACACAAGAGGAGGAAATTGTTGTATTTGTGGATCATCTATCGCAATTCCCTTCTCCATATACTAGCTTGTGCACACACCACACTTTTTGGGGTAAGCTCTATCATACAGAACGTAATTTGTCACCTCAGGTTCATCACGAAGCAAACCACAGTACCTCGGAGCTGGGAATAGGGTGTGCAGGTCCACTCTCCACGACCATTTCCCACGCAAGTGCATCTCATCATATGGCCCATGTCATGCTGCTTGTCCCATTCATCTCCCACACGGTACATGACACCTTCACTGGTTGTGCAGATTTCCTCATGAGCTGTTCAGGGAACAAGAGTGAGATGCATTTGTAGGGGCTTGTTTTTGCTTTTGCTGTACTTTACACTAAGCAAAATAACAAGGCAATCTTCCGTGAATTTTCATTCTGAGTGAGCCAGATGTCTTTGCATGGAATGCTCATTGATAATATAGTCCACATACCTGCCATTGGACAAAATCCAAACTTTTGATCAGCATCATAATTTGGGGTGGTTCCACACCACTTCATGTTATCTCTTCGCCCCTCAGAAGTACAGTCAGTGTAATTCCGGTTGTTGTAAAGGAAAGGAAAATGGCATAGGGCACCATTGGAGTTACCACCACGTGTTTGAACTAAGACTGCAAGAAAGCAAAAGCCATTCAAGAGAAGGCCCCACTTGGCCTAGATCCTTACCAAAGCTGTCAGGCATCAACAGTCATCTCCATACCACCTTACTACAACAGCTGGGACATGCTTGATAATGAATATATAACAGTCCTGTCCAATACAGAGAACTCTGAGAGATCTGCTAGTTAAATATTAGATTCTTTTCATCTCAGGATTAGTTCATACACATGCGTACACAGTTCAAAGCATCTCAACAGCTGGAGCTACCTCAGCCAAACATATGTCCACAGTCATATGAAAACTAAAATGTGCTGAGGTGTCTCTCCAGACAAAGCTACACAAGACCCAAATTATGATATGCTATTAGCCCAGGTTAAGAACTGTGATTCAAGAGCATCCCCAGAGGAGGATTTATTTTGAAACACATGGGACCTAAATACATATTTTCCAGTACACCTGGACATTCCCTCCTACTTCCTTTTCCTGCAATTAGTGCTTTTCTGTTTTTTCCCCCCTAAATTGCCCGAGAAAGCATTAGCTATCCAGCCATGTTTTTTACTATCACTTTTTTCAGTGTGTGATACTCAGAAGTATTATTGCTGGAAGCTGTAATTTTATCTGGGGATGGGATGGAGGTTGCACATTTTGTTCTCTCTGCTACTGTATCCACAGGGATTTCACTGGGGTACATTCCATGGGGACACTTAAGCCCATGGAAACTGACCCACAGTTTCACAACAGCCTACCATGTAGGGCTGCTTTGAGGATACAGTGGAATAAAATTGCAAAGAATTTTACAGATGTAGTCTATACATATAACGACTCACAAAAACAAAAGTAATTCTCCTTCTGCATGGTAAATGCGGGACAAAAATATTTACTGGTAAATGTGGGTAACACAATTCTGCTTCAGCGTTTAAGCCACCCTGCCACTTCAAGAGTTCAGAGAGCCACCAGCTTTTCTTTTCTCTGATGTTCCAGAGATGCAGCTTCTTAAGACCCCTTCCTGTTTTCAGTAAGGAAGCAGACTTTTCTGTGCTCTCATCTAGGGACTGGGTGAAAAAAAGTTGAGAGGATGGCTGGACCACTATAACACCAGGACAGCAAATGTGTACCAAGAAATATCTCTGTCCTTGGCTGCTTTAAAAAAAGAGGGAGAAGTCCAATCTATTTTAGGTTGGAGGCAACAGCTAACCCATTTCAGATTACCCATTCAAGGGGAGCCCTTTGCTCACTAGCATTAAATCTTGCAAAACGCAGTGCACGTTAGTTGCTGGTGAACAGCAGAGCAGCAGAACATTTAGCCACATGCTCACAACGGATAGAATTTAATGAAAAATCGGGGGGCTGGCAAGAGGCAGGTTGCCTGAGAGCAGAAGCGCTCTGTCAGCCTCGAGAGAAGTCCCTAACACACGCCCCAAATTACAACCCAGCAGTTTTATATAGCCAGTGACATGTGCTTATATGGTTCTATTTAAAGGATTTCTTTTCCCTCGTTCATGAGGCCCTTTACATCACAACGGTATAATCAGTGCCACTCCCAGTAGCTAAAGGAAGCACATTCTTTAAAAAAACATCAAAGCTGGATAAAAGCAGGTGCAATATTCTTGCAACAGGCCTGGATTTTTGCCCAAAGCTACCAAAAGCTAAAGGCACTGTAATATAAGTGAAAAACTGCAACACAACATGATCAAGTGATTCAGAACCTCCAAATATGGGGCGGGGGGGGGGGGAATCAGATAGAGAATTTCACAAGAATCCCTGATCTGAGCTTCTTAAGTGCTGCTGGGTGCATTCCTTCCATTTAACAAACTAATCAAGTAAAAAGAAAGCACTACCGAGACATGATTTGGGTTGCACTTTCTGCTTTGATTAGGTAACACAGAGAGAGCCCTGCCTCACGGCAAATCCCTCTGCCCATGTCCCACAAAGCCAAATGCTTTGGGAGGAAGGGCTGCGGAACCCATTCGCAGAAGCGAGGTCCGACTGCGGCTATATATGGCGTCCTGGCTGGGAGTCACGATCCAGCAAGTGACATCAGAACATTGCACTGATCAGGCTCAGGAGGCATCTTTCCCCAAGCCTAATATGGACATCAGCCCTGCTGGACTAAAGCAAAAAAAATCCAGACAGACACATTCAGAAAAAACAGGGGTCTGGATAAAGTTGTTTTGTCTGGGCTACCAGATCTATGTCCATGTAATCATCTCAGACAAGCACACCCCTCTCAGCACTGAGTAAGGCCCTAGCATTCCAATTCTTGGTGATCAATGCATTTTTCCCATGCGTTAACTGCAAAATTGACCCCTAGCTGTGCAGGCTCCCCAGGGCTTTGCACCAACAAGTGGGTTTGTGTGACATAATTACCCACCTTGGTTTATAAGCCACTGGGGGTTAGTGTGTTATCTGAACTCAACATACTTCCTTAGGGGTGCTTTACAAGACACCCTGGGGTGGTTTAGAAACCACTGCACCCACCCATGGCTTGTTCTAGGGACAACATGTTAAGTCATGGTCAAACCCAAAGTTAAGAGAGTCTCTTGGACAGAGTGGCAAGAAAGCACTGCAGCTGTAGCCCAGGAGATCTGGCTGACGAAAGCCAGCCATGCCCATGCTCCTGCTGAAGCTGGAGAGGGAATGGGATTGTTCAAAGGCAGCCCCTCCCCGGCTTCCCCACTCACGCTGCTGCTGATGCCAGCAGAGTGGGGCTGCCCACAAGCAATCCTACTCTGCTAGCATCGGCATCATCAGCAGAAGAGCGTAGGGGAAACAGAGGACAGCAGAAGCTGCTGCCAGTGTGCATCTGCTCCCCCAGTGCTTGCTGCTGCTGCAGCATCCCCTGGGATACTTCAGAAGAATGAGGGGGAGATGGGTACATCCTCTCTCTGTGCCCGGTCATCTGCCAGGCACAGGGGGCTTTCACCTCCAGTGCATGGGTCTAGGTCCCTGGGGTTTAGCATGCCATACAAATCTGTCCAGTATGTTAGAAAAGGCAGCCCAGGAAAAACTATTTTGAAACGTTAAAATGGAGGTAAGGTGGGGAGATTCACTTAGGCTGCAATCCGGTGCACCCTTACCTGGGAGTTAGTACTATAAAATTCAGTAGCACTTACTTCTGAGTAGATATGTATAGGACTGCACTGGTATCTGGATATATATCATACCCTACCCATGGCTTGAGCAAGGACTGAGAAAGTGGCATCTTGTGTTACTGCTATTTGCATTTTGAACAAAGCACACAGAATGAATAACTTGCCCATGACTATCTGGAAGGCTGCAGCTGAACCAAGACTGGAACCTAGTCCTGTATTAAAAAATTAAAAATGCTGTACTGCACTGAATTGGCTCTCCGATAGGACTATCTACTCCTTTCGTCATGCCCAGAATGCCTTTGCAGATTTTATTTCTTGCACTTCATCCCATCACACCCCACATAAAAGGCCCAAACCATGGAGTTTAATGGAGCAATGCCAAATTACAGTTAATAACATTGTGCCTCCATTGTAGTTCTCCTAGCCTCCTAAAATCCACAGCATATTTCTCTCCAAATAGTATCTATTTTGAAAAGTTTACCATTTTGTTCTGTACAGAAGGAGTATCTGCCTTCCTTATCAAAGTTTGAGGTTGTGCTGCACCAGAGTGTCCCATCAGTACGGCCTTCAGTAGTACATGAGTAGAAAGTTCTGTCATTGTAGGTGAATGGAAAGACACAAGGTTCTCCGTTGGAATTGCCACCATAGAACTGGGTCACCACTTCAAAGCAGAACAGAACACGGTATCAAGATCCCGCCATCTAATTACATACATGTTCCATATCAGGCAACTTGGAGCTAAATCCCTAGCATTTACATAGTACACAATGCTATATGCTGGCAAGTGGCTGGGCTGTCCTGGAGGGAGAGAGACGCGTGATCCCAGGGCCAGTCCCACCAAGGCACCTTCACAGCACTGAGCTCAAGAGCACCAGAGCTCCAGGCTGGCAGGCAGTGGCGGCAGCATCCCAGAGGAGTCTCCTGCGCATCCCCCTCTCAGCAGGTGAGGTGCTTGGACAGGGAGACTTCAGGTGCCTCCAATATCAGATGTTCTTGGCCCACGGAAATAGCACAAGCAATGCCACTCTTAGGCAGATGGTGAACTGTAGGCCGAGTCACACCCGATCAGAGGCCAGATCGACCCAACAACGAGGCCACCAACGCTCTCCTCGACACAAGTCAGATCACTTCTGGTGCATGGGGCAGAAGTGCAGTGGCAGTAGAACAACAGAACAACAAACAGATCCATGCTCCTGAGCTGTATTTCGCTGGTCTACAGAAACCATCCTGATTCAGCAAGGAGCATGTCTGTGTATCTGTATGTTTAGCCCAGGGTCCTTCCTTTCCTTTTATATACCAAGGATCATAAAGGTGCCTCATACCCGTTTCCTGGCAGCTGACTCCATTGCCCACACAAGTGCAAAGCATATGCTGGCTTCCCTGTGTCTTGAGCCACTGCATTCCCGGGGCATACACCATCCCGTTGTCAGTTACACAGTGCCCATAGGGAGCGGGCTGCGGCTGAGGCTGGAAGAGTGCGGTTCGTATGTCTGTGATGGTCGCAGATGCAGTTCCTGCAGCAGGAAACATAAGACCTCTCAAACGCTACAGCAGTCAGTATGGAAGATGAGGGTTGTTGCTTGCTTAAATACATTTTGGGCAGTTAAGTACTCTTCAGGATTCTTTAATGACTCAATTACATATGCAGGATTTATAATGAGAAAATAACATTCTAAAATAGTCTAAGAATCATGCCAAACACTAGATAAAATGACATATTCTCTGAGAAACTTCACCAAATTACCTATCACTTAGCAAAACTTCACAGTCAGTTTTAGATGCCGATTTCTTTCCCCCACCAGCTATGTCACAAGACAGTTACTTGTGACATAGTAGCAGAAGCAATAAGGGGACACAGGCCGTTGGGAAGTGGGGATCAAAGGGGCTGGGCAAAAGGCAACAGTGTGGGGCAAACAATTCCAGCAAAGCTTTGCTCACAGTTCTCACTGCTATGGGCCTGCCACCCTCTCCTGTAGCTTAGCCACTGGCAGTAAGAGCTACTATGTGCTGGCATTTGGGGGCATTCAGCACTATACACCCCTGGAATCCGGTTGCCAAGAGCTTCTGCGAGGCTGAACTTAGCCCTCGGGCTGAAAGAGGCTCCCTGCCCTAACTAGCGCCTTCCGATCCAGCAAGTGTGCGTGGCTTCTTGGGGAAGGGGACTGTAACTAATTTGGAGTCCCAGAATTCCAGGCACGAGCCCCGTGGCACGCCAGGGGAGGGGGGTGATGCTGAAGTGACACGCGGGTGTCACGAGCACAGCCAGCTGTCTTGCTTACCTATGCTTGTGGCCTGCAGGGATGAATGCCTCTCACATTTCCATTCCCCTCTGCCATTCCCTGTGCAGATGCACTGAAGCAGGTTTCCTCTGCTGTCTTTCTTACTCCACGTGTCTCCAATTCTGTAGGATGTCTTGGTGTCCTGATCATTGCACCTGTCTGTAAAAGAAGGGGAGAAATACATAAAGCTGGGGGCTCAAAAAGAAGTAATTTCAGCAGTTGATGCGCTCCAGACATGTTGGTTTACTTGAACTAGTAGAAGTACTTTACCATTCATACAGTCATTTGGGTCTTAAATGGAACTGAATTCATCATTCATCTTTTAGAGCACATCAATCTTAACTTGCTTGCTTTCATAGCAGCTGTGTGTGACACATGCTATACTGATTTTTCAGATGGCGAGTAAGAGCTGTGAGGTAAATTGTCCAGTGGCAGGAGTGGGATTTTAATCTCAGGTCTTCCAGGTACAGTCTTGCACAAGCCTTGCTGCAGCATGGACAATACAGTGGAGGCAAATCTTTCCCCCTAGAAGCATGTACAAATACTATATTAAATGCCTCTTTGGAATGCCATGATACATGCCAATTCCTGGAGTGATTACTTAGGTCTAGAGAATGCACAGTCACAATGTCTATCAAGTTCTGGACCAACTAGATCAAGGTTGCATTCTCCTGGAACTAGCTTCCAAAAATAAGAGGGATGCATTCACACATGTAGGATCAGGTTTTAGTAATTCTTCTGAAAGAGCAGAAATTATGCTGCAAATTACAGTTAAGTGAGGTGGGGGAAGATGAACACAGCAGCAACTGAATGGAAGGATGCACCTGACCCGGGATAAATATGAAATGCTTTCACCCTCAATACAGGATGAAGCCGTAAGAATGTCCTCTAGTTGAGATTTCAGGCTATACTCTTGGGCTGTCCTTTGACTCCTTCTGCAGGATGTTCCAAGACTTTCTCAAGCCCACACAATTACCCCCACACCTGTTAATGCAACCAGCTCCTGAGATCCTACCCACCTCACCATTCACACAGTCTCCCTGGAAAAGAAGTCACCTGAGCTGAGTGCTTCCTGTCTCCTTCCTGTGCTGAACAGCTGGAACGCCCCCCCCCCCCCCGCGAAGTGGGAGTTTGGGAACTTCTCCCATTTCTTGTCATTGGCTGTGGTGGAAGGAGACCTCAGAATCACTCCAAATGGTTACTCAGCACTGCGCTTGGACCACTAAAGCTAACATGTGGGAAGTACTCGAGAAAGCCATGAGATCAGATTGAAGGAATCCTTGTGGGTTTGCCAGGAAACTAGTCTGCAACTTCAAACGGTGCATGTGTGTGTGCGTACATACATGTGTGCCTATGAATGAGCACAGTGGGAAAAAGCTTTCGAAACACTCAAAGCTAGGAACAAGGTCTCCTACAAATGGATCTTGCATGGGAACAAAACCTAGCGGTTTCTTCTGACTGGCTCACAGCTGTTTCCATTTAAACCGGGGAATCTCCATCCTTTCATGCCAGCAACCACAGTGTTCATAAAAAGGGACAGAGAAACTTAACTGAAAAGGCCTGCTTTCTAACAGGGCAATCCTAAGCATGTTTATCCAAGCTGTAAGTGACCCAGGACTCCATGGGTCTTACTTTCTAGCAAGTGCAATTAGGACTGCAGCTAAATCAGGATGTTTTCAGGACCTTATTATTCTAAACAGTAAAAAAAAGAACAGAATAACGAGGGCGGGGATAGCTTGTTGAGGTGCTACCCCCAGGAATCAGCAAGATACAGGAAGGTTTCAGAGGGGCTGTATTAAGCATCCCTGCCTCCATCACCCAAAAATATATTTAGGCATTGTGAGTGGTGGACCAAATCTATACTACTGTATGGACAAGATATAGTCTGCAGAGAGGGTGCCCGACTTAAGATCAGGAGTGGCGTCCCAGTCCACACATAAATTAAATAAATGTCATCAACAAGCAACTCTCAGCCAGCATAATTATGACCCTGGGGAGCAGTACATATAAGAGGAACAGAAATGAGGCTGTTGGGAAGATTTATGGGGCAGCCCTGGCAAATGAAGCTGTTCTTTCTCTACCATTGGTAGTATTAGATTCATCGTTTTCATTTCAGATTCACAGAGCAGAGTTCGTTAATATCTAGAAAAATATTGGAATATTTAACAACACATTTCTGAGCCACATAATGAAATGCATCATCAGTATCAAACCATGTGATCCTGTCTTTTTTCAAGTACTTGCAAACATTGTATACATCCCTACCTTTCCCATTTGACACTGAGCAGTATTTTTCTACCGCAAGTTTCAGGTCAGAGTGAAAGTATAAACAAATTCTTCTCTTTTTTCATTTAAAATTTAATTTAAAACATACTTTGAGGAATTAGTCTATATCAACTTAAGGCTAAAGACGTTTTCAAAACCTACCCAACAAATGGTTTGAAGGACTAGCTATTTCCCAGACCAGATTAAACAGGTTTTACATATAGCCTGAAGTGCCTGATCCTGCCTAATCTTGAAAGCTAAGCAGGATCAGGCTTGGTAGAAGTCTGGATGGGTAACTTGAGTCCTGCACTGAGCAGGTGGCTGAACCAGATGGCCTGTTAGGTCCCTTCTAACTGCATGATTCTATTTAGACAGTGATTGCATTTTCAGGTCACTTTTATTCATTTTTTTTAAGGAAGCTTTTACTGTAATGTTTTCTGCTGCAAATTCCAGAATAAAAGTGGTCCCTAACTATATAAATGGGTTTCTTAATCTATATCTAAATTCAACTACTTCATTGCAGCATTGTTACAACCCCACGCCCCCACCACTCCATGGGACTGCCTATCTAAATGCTGATTAGCAAGTAACAGTGGACATTTCAAATAAACACAAAAGGAAAATTTCCCACCCCCTCCATCACCCAGTCACTTGCCTCACCCCCTAAAGCCTCTCTGGAAGGTCAGGGGACCTTCCTGAGCAATGAGAGACAGACCACAGAATGACTCACTGAAAACTGGGTTTAGATCGTAAAGTAATTAAATTTCAGGAAGGAAGAATCTTTTCCCACTCCTCTGCATAGCAGCTGCCTGTGCCCCATTCCAAATTGACAGGGCCCCATGTGTTCCCCAGTTGTTCCAATCAAGCCAGGGTCTACAGAGTAAATTCCAATTCAACAAGCTCCTTTGTCACTTACTTTTCTGCCAGTACTTTGTTTATACTGTTTTTAAACCATTTGATAGAGCCATTGTGGTGCACCACTTACAGTGCAGGGCTGAAATGCAGGAGACCTGGGTTCTTGTCTCCACTCCACTAGGAAGCTCACTAGAGGACTTGGGGCAAGCCACTGACTCTAAGCCTGACCTACCTCACCGAGTTGCTGTGCAGATACAATGCAGAGGAGGAGGAGGAGGAGGAGGAGGAGGATTATGTAAGCTGCCTTGGGTTCCTTACAGGAAAAAAGGCAGGATACAAATAATTAAATAAATAAATAATGCATGTAACACTAGCATTGAACAACAATTTTTTTATTTAATTTATTTCATTTCTACACCGCCTGTAGCTGAAGTATTCTAGGCGGTTCATATCAAGATAAAATTCTCTAGTCTTCCCTAACCTGGTACCCTCCAAATGTTGCACAATCACTCCTATCAGATGGCCAAGGAATATGGGAATTGTAGTTAAACACATCTGGAAGGCTTTGACTAAGAAGGCTGCACTAAAATCATCATCTGATGATGATGGAGTGACAGTCTCTGGGAGCTGGCATCTGAGGGGCACCTCAGTTGCTTCTGAAACCCACAGATCTATTTCCATCTTCTCAAAAAGCAAAACAAAACAAAAATCCCAAAGCCAATCAGAAAGCCGAATTCAGGCTTCCTGATGAAGGGAAGCAGGGAGGGGCCACCTACTCCCAGCAGGAAATGCACGCACAGAGCAAGCAAGGCAACACAAAGTTAGCACTGAACAGCAACAAAACAATGCTCAGAGCAGCATAAAAGATCCCACCTAAAGCATGCACTGCTGCCTTACATAGGAGTAAGACCCGCAGGACAAACCTTTAACCAATACACCAAGGACTGGTGCACAGTCCTAGACATATCCATTTAGAAGCATTCCCACCATGGCTTAATCCCAGGAAACTCTGTGTATTCTGAGGACAAGAAACGCGGCAACACACACAAAGCGCACTCATGCCAGGCTCTGCCACGATACCCACTTCTGGAGCTGCAGGTAATGCGTCCATTGCCTTCTCCTAAGCAAGTGCAATCCACCATCATCCAGCCTTGGTAGGGCTTCTCCCAGATCTCTCCAACGACATAGGATGTCCCAGCAGCATTATCGTAGCACCGTTCAGCTACAGGAATGGACACAAAGGACAGGATGCTCTTGCTTTAGTCACAGGATTTCATTAAAGAAAGATGAAACCAGATTTCCTTAAATGGGGGGGGGGAGGAATCACTTCAATCATTTCTGCCACAAAAGTACTAATAAATGGGTTGGATAAAAAACAGCATCTGGGGGTCTGATAGGTACATGTCGCCTCAGCATCTCAGTTCTGAAATCTGTTCTTAGTTTTTATGCTGCTGTGAGGCTTGACTTTATGGTTTTACACTCTATTCTATAACTTGTGAGGGTTTTTTTTAAAGCTTTATTTACCAATTTACCATAAGCCATCCACAGAACTTCACGTTATGGATTGGCAGCTGAATGCTGTAAATATCAATAAATGGTAAGATACCAATCAATATGCTCAGGTCTTACAGAGGGGGCAAACTTGTATCTGGGATGTACCACTTCATATTACAGATGTGGCAATTGTGCCATGTGACTTCATACAAAAAGTTATTGCCTCAAGCAAAAAACTATTTGATAGGGAAGGCTTAATCAGAGCACTTTTCCCTTTTATGTTAGTTAGCTAGGTTTTTGTTCTGCCTGTTTTGTTTTAATGTGGAGGGGTTAATTCCTGTATGTGAGCCCTCACCTGCCATTTGGAAGGGTCCATTCCAGATGCAGGCTGATCTTCCCAGTGTCAACTAGGCCTAACTGGTATACCAGCTTCATAGTAGCAAAGGGCATTAGAATCTACTCAGAACTTATTCAAAAACAGCATCTAACCATTATATATAATTGTGACAAAAACCCTATGTCACAATGAATCAAAAGGCCAATGTCTGCTCTAAGAGCTCCATCTACTTAAAACGCAGGCCCCAACACTCGCCGGTACATCAAAGACAAACCAATACGTACCTACTGGTTTGCAAGTCCATTCACCCTTTCCATTGCCAAGACACACACATTCCAACATGTAGCCATCTGTCTCATGAGGCCTGCGCCAGGTATTGCCAATCTTGTAGGACTGACCTCCTTCATGGCAACGATCTGCAAAAATAAACCCAGGTTGCTACCTTGTAACAAGGCTACTGGCCCATCTAGCTCAGGACTGCCTATTCTGCCTGGGTGTTTCCTGGGCTGCTACCTCAGATCCTTGTGGCTACAAGAGATTAAATCTAGGACCATCTGCATGCAAAGCATGTACTCTGCCTCTAAACTACTGCTGCACTCCCTGTAAAAGAGCATCAAGGTACAGGACCATGTAGACACCTTTAGCTAATTCAGGGATCTCCAAGACCTGACACATCTTCACAGGGTAGGTGGCGATGTGAAACTGGCAATTCTCTAAAGGTCCCTTCCCAGGGGAGAGCTGGAGCTGCTTCCACAGTCAGTTATTCCTAATGCCCAGAATGTGGCATTTCCTATTACTGCAGAAGCATACTCAGCATAATCCTATTAATCTGGCATGCCTTATATTTGTGATAAACCTTCTCTTTCCTTGTCGATTTTACAAAGGCATCTTCCATCAGAGGTGCAATACTGCCTTACATTGAAAAGACAAAGCCACTTGCTTCTATTCACACAGTAGTTGTAATCGTGAATAATGTGGCTTGTTTATTTTCTTCAGCGAGGGCATGTTGTGCCTTCTCTCAACTGTTTCTAGCTGAACTGTGGATTTTGCACTTAACAAACTCTTTAAAGCCCTGCAGCCTTAATGTGGTTGCCACCCCAAAACCCCATCGCCTTTGTAGCAGGTAGATATCAACTGCTGCGCGCAGATATCAACTGCTGCCACTGAGCATTTCTGTAATGCACCTCTCCAATACATACTTGCAATTGTGCAGCTGATTCTGCCACGACCAGCTCCAATGCAGGTACAGTCCCAGATCATGGAGTCCTTGGGCCGCTCATAGGTTTCCCCTACTCGGTAGGTGCCTCCAGTGTGCTTGTCGTAGCAGGTTTCTTCCTCTGAGTGGGCAAAAAAGGCTATGTCACCACAACAGACTTTGCAGCTTGCAGATTCTCTATCCCCTTGGTATGTCCTACCACCATGTGCCAGGCTGGTGGTGACAATGCCTAGGACAGCAGTTGGCTGGACAAAAGGGTCTCTGGCCAGCAGGGGCATTGTTGCTTAGATCCTGAGGAGCTAAGAAGGTGATGGTAAGAAGACTAGAAGGGAAACAGCAAGGGAAGGTCAAGAGAAACAGCATCAGAAGGCTGAGGAGACTGCAGGCCGAGGGAAGTAGGGAGCAGTGGAAGCAAAACTGTACAAAGAAAAGGGAAGAGTTTGCAAGCGGGCATAACAAGGAGAAAGACCAGACAGGAAAACTGCACATGATCAAGAAATACAGAGAGCTGTTGGTCACGTATTTACTTGAACTGAATTAAGAGGACTCTTTTGCTCTTAAAAATTGCATGAGTGTTTCTGTATAATTTTCTGGCACAATTTTCTATTTCCTAATCAATTTTACAATAAGAAAGATCTCATGAATGAAATCAAATATATGCTGTAGTCCTTTAAAACTAACCTGAAATTCTGTAACTCATGAGTATGTCTCATTGCACGCAGTGTTGCTTACTCCTGAGTAAACCTATATGGAACTGCATTGTTAATAATCTTTATGGTTCTAGCTAGAACCCAGGACTGCTTGTTTTCTTCTGTGGCATTAAAAGTCATTCTCCTCCTTGAATTCTTTGTGAAAATTTCTGCATATTCTCTTCCTCCCTCACCCCTCCAGTCTTTTCTCCAAAGTAAGAATGCCCAAGTTAGTTTTACTCTTTTGCCATATTTTCCATTCTCTTTTAAAACTGTATCACTTTCCCCAAAGTTTTTATAGTATGTATTTGTCCTTTTCAGACCGTAAGAATGTGAGAGGAGCCCTGTGGGATCTGATCATGGGACCTGATGGCCCAGCAGTCCCTTCACAGGATGGCCAGCCAGCTACCTGCAGGATCCCACAAGCGGGGGGGCTGTGACAGTGCCCTGCTGTCAAGCTCCCCAGCAGCTTCTGCACGCAGGCACACTGCCACTGATGCCACAAGTAGCATGTGGCCATCAGGACTAGTTGCCACCAATGAGAACATTATCCCCCAATCCATTTTAAAGCTGTCCAACCTAGTGGCCACTACCACTTCCCATGGCAGCAAATTCCATAGTTTAACTAGGCACTGTGTGAATATGCACTTCCTTTCATCTGTCCTGAATCTCTTCCCCTCCAGCTTCATGGGATGACCCTGGGTTCTAGTATTATGGCTGAGGGAGGAAAGCTTCTGTCTATCCAATTTCTCCACAGCATGTATCATTCAATTCTTAACATGTTCTGAGACACTGCTGCTCTGAATCAAAGAATCTGGCATCTGCGATTGAAAGAGCAGCCCTGCCAGGTCAGGCCAAGGCCTCATCTGGTCTAGAGTCCTGCTTCCAACACTGGCAGGTCAGCTGCTTCTAAGACACCTTAGAGCTGGACTCAGCCCTTTTCCACTCTATGCCCCAGCAGCTGGTCCGCAGAGGCATGCTGCTCTGCACCCGGAAACTCCATCTTGTCCCACATCCTCACTTGGAAGCCATGTAAGCTGCCCCACACACAGGAGGCAAAGCAGCACCTTTGTAAAGGGAGTCAAGGGACAGAGCTTTCCCGAGAGGGGGGCTGCCTGTCACAACAAATGCTTCTGCAACTTACAGGGAATGTCAAACATTTCCTGGGTGCCATCTGAGTTTTCATCAGAAAACATGAGGGTCTGGGTCATTCCATGTGGACTGGTTGTATGCCCTAAAGTATGCCCCGCCCCACCAAACCTTCACAACTCTTCCAGGCCGAGCTGCAGGAGCGGGCAGGAGGAAGCTGGGCCCTTCCACCAGACCTGTTCTGGAGGCCTCCCTCATGAAGGCAGCTCCTGACACTCTGCTCTTCCCACCAGCAGCATGAATTCCAGCAAAACAGCCAACAGCTTTTTTCTTTAGAGACTGCTCTGTCAGAAGGCAATGGAAAGACCTCTTACCCTCAGGCTTGCTTTCACAGCTGAATCCTCTGCTGCCCCCATAGCAGGTACAGACCAGAATACGCCCCAAGTAACTGCGCTCCCACTGCTGGTTGATCTGATAGTGTTGTCCATTGTCAAAGCATCCCTCTGAGAAAGAAACAGAAAGGAGTGTTGAATTACATTTCCTTGTCTAGACCACAAGTAGCAGTTCTCCAAGCAAGGGGAAGGGGCATGGGAGGCAGGGGTTAGCCCAGGCATGCATGGAATATACATTAGCTCCAGACCCTGCATTCCTTTGACATCCTGAAATCTCTGAGAGAGAATGGAGGCTTTAAGGTGCATGGAAATCAGGAATGGGTTTGACTTCAAAACTGTCTGTCTCTTTTTCACCACGTTTTAAATGAACAGAAATTGAACCACCGGAGGTTTCAAATTCTGGAGCAACAATTTAACAGATGGAAAAGATTGCTCAGTTAGGAGGCCTGATCCAAAGTTTAATGCAAGTCAGTGGAACGACTCCAAAGGATCTGAGAGAAACTTCCTTGGCTCTGACTCCTAGGCAGGCTTATCCTTGCCAAGGTAGGGCTGCAAACTTAGTTTTCTTCCAAGCATTTTCTCCAGCTACAGTTTTACATGAATAGTCCTGCCACTTCCTACAGCTGATGAAAATTAATCCTGTTTTATTTTTTAAACACAAACAGCATTTTAAACCAATATAAATCAGATTTGTTATTTATCTTATTATCAGTTCTTTTCAATAATCTGGCATAAAACATAAATGTAATACAAATTATAGACTACTATACCTTCTCTTAAAACCTAATTCATTACCTTCTCCCAAGCACCCTGAAATGAAGCTTGCTTTTTTACTCAAAAGAAAAAATGATTTGGCTTTATTACTGTGGCCTATTCCAAGTATTTATTATAACGAACATAAAGTATGGCTAGTTACTCCACAGTTCATGCAGAAACACTGTTTGGCTGAGTAATTTCCCCCCGGCTTCTTAGAAGTTCTGAAGTGCACAGCCCAGCAGACCTAAGCTTAGAGCAGGTCCTGCTTTTTAGGAAAATGGCATCACTGAGCGTCCTTCCATAAAAAGCACTATCCTTATTGCACAGATATGACCGTATAACAAAAATGCGTATTGGAGGCATGACTGCAGGTTTTGCATAGTGCTCCTTGAAGGCTGTTATTGGGTCCTCAGTCTGCAAACTAGTTCAGGAAATACATGAACTACCAAATGGAGAACTTGATGTAAGAAAGCAATCCTAACCCCAGGCAATGGTGGAGGCAGTAACTGCAGCTCACATGGCCAAGAGCCTGCCAGCCTGCCCAGAGAATAGCCAATGTATCTGAGGAAAGTTCTGCAGCATGGCAATAGGCCGAGGAATGGGGCATTCCCGGGATCTGGCAGCCCCCTGTTCACTGAATGTAGTGCCCCTTCATTTCTCTAACAGGCGCTCCAATCATGGCAGCCTAAAGCAGGGATCTTCCTTTCTATTGATTGAGATGGGAAGGGAAATGACAAAAATATAAATCGACCAGGAAAAACCACATATTTGAAAAAGCCAACCCCTTCTCCTGGTCTGAGGGCTGGGCACAGGAAATGGGCCTCCCCTCTTTTACTTCAGATCACTTGACCATCCTTTGAGCCCAGAGGAATACAATGGGAGTCCCTTAATCCTGAAATAGGATTTCAGCCTTAGTCAGGTCTGGGTTTGCTCACTGTCTGAATGAGAGTCTGGCTGGAAACTCTATCCAGTCCACTTTGTACTGCATGGAAAAAGGGGAGATATAACTAGATTAAACAACTAACTTCCCCTCACCCATACTCACATGGGCAAGTTAAACCAGCCCACTTGAAAACTTCCCTACTGTTTCACAGCGTTAACAGCCAGGAAAATTTTCCCTCATGTCACCCTGCAACTCCCACTTCAATTTCCCTTCCCAGTCTGGGAGGGATTAACTAGAAGCGCCCTTGCACACGCTTTCCTTTGGGCAGAAGAGGTGTTCCAGGGGATTTGTCTCCTTCTCACATTCTACATCAGTTATTGATTTTCTCTTAATTTCTGTGGGTTGCAAAGCAACAAAATAAATTTGCTAGATGAAGTCATTTTTTTAAAACGGTAGGCGAAAGACTTTAGCAAAAGTAATCGGACTCCTCCAAGGTTTATTCACACCTCAGCACAGACAGAGGCGGGACTGCCAAATGTTTTGTCTTCTAGTGGAGACGCGTTACTGCAGACCCCCCCCCCCACCCCCGTCACAGACAGCATCGTCGCAGGGCGTCGTGCTGGTGGACCTCGCTTACAACCGTGGGGTTGCGGGTTTCTCTTTTCTTTCTCTCCCTTCTCCTCTCTTCAGTTCAGAACTAGAATAGGCAGGTCGGGAGAAGACGTTAAAGAAGGCACATTTAGGATGTTCTCCCAAGCTGCTCAGGCATAAGAGAGAGACGCCCGAAATCCCCAAAGTTGTTCTATCTTCCAAAGTCCTTTCTTAGCACAGTGCAGACTCAAGAGAGCTACAGTTGGAAGGTTCCGTGAGAAAACCCTCAGCCCGCTGCAAGTTTTCTATCTCCTGCGAAAGTCTGGTTCGCTCTTCGTGAGCGCCCAGATCTGAGGGCCCCTCCAGCGCTCCCTACTCCCCGCTGCGTCCCAGCCCCTCTCCTCGCAAACCGTCCCTGGCCAGCACTACTCACGTTTGCTCTGCCCGGCTGGCACGGCAGGTTGGACGATGTGCTGCTGGGTTTGCCTTTTGGCCTTTTCCCTCTGGCGCGGCGTGCCCCAGACCCCTGCCCCCAGGCAGAGGGTCAGCAGCACGAGAAACAGCCGCTTCGGCGGGCTGCGGGGCATCTTCGAGAGCTGCGGGGAAAACAAACAGGGCTTAACAAAAGCTGCCCTTCACTTGGCAAGCTGGAGGCAAAGCCGCTTCATTGAGCTGCTCTCCGCGAACAGCGGGATGGACAAAAGAGCGCGCCCGCCGCGTCCCTTACCGCGCTTCTGCTGTTGCTCCTCCTCGTCGCGCGCAAACCTACCCGCTTGCGAGAAGGGCAGATCGCCGGCGCCGAGGGGGCTTATATAGGGCTCCTGGCGCCAGGGGCCCCCCGCCGAGGCCAAGGCAAAGAAGCGAGGGAGCACTCCGAAGAGGAGGGGCTCACCGGGGACACCCCTTTTGGAACGGCCAGCGGCTCTCCAATTGGCCCGGCCGGCTGATGACGTCACGGGGAGTGGCATTCCACGCCAAACAAAAGATGCCCTTTAGACGGGCCGGGAGTTAGAGGGGTTCTGCGGGCAGGAGCGGGGGTTCGCTTCCTGCAAGGCAGGGGACACCTTGGGGATGGCAGCCAACCGGCCGCATAGGGACCTCCCAGGCTTCGAGCGCGGGGCGCGGGTAGGGCAAGAAAAGGCTCCGAGGTTTACGGAAGCCCAACCTCATCGCTTCTTAGAGCCAGAAAGGTGAAGCGCGCAATCCTGCCAAAATTTGACACGGTCACGCCCCGATAGGAAAAGAGTCAAGTACATCATTAACCACTCATAGCAATCGCTGGAATATGCAATGCATTCATAACGCTTGTTCAGAAGTAAGTCCCACAGCATTCTCTGGGGGAGTGTTACCAAAGTCCTGTGCATAGGACTGCAGTCTCAACAGTGCTTAATTCTGACTAATGTCCCCCTCCCCCTTACAGAAGTACATTCGTTCAAGACTCTGTCGCTGTCTTGTGTGCTTTTCCATAGTCCGTTCTGCCCTGGTTGCCTCTCCTTCTGTGCTGCCTTTTTCCACCCTCGACATTCTCTTGTTGAGAATGTGGAATGGATAGCTGAATAGAAAAGCTTCAAAACAAAATCCACAATTTGGAATACGGACAAGCTTGAACAGAAGTTTGAAAAGTTTTAGGCCAGTGTTGAAGGAAAGGTTCAGGGTTCAGTGAGGACGGGAAGAAACACTCATGAAGCTGTTTCAAACAACTGTTCATTGATTTTGGGATGAAAAATAAAAAAATAAGCATTATTAACACACTCCAACAATTTAACAATTTATGTTTCAACACTAGTGGCTCAAGAGAGGTCACAAATCATACTTAGTTTGCCCATGGCCAGACCTGGTTTTTGCAACTTTTTGCCCAATCCAGAGATCCAGAAAACTTGCCTACAATTTTGTGTGTTTTGGTTGGTCCTAATAAAAAATTGACCATTAATTTTGGAACCAATAAAAATTAAAAGAACCAAAAGTGTTGTGGCACCTCAATGACTAATACATTTATTATGTTACAATTTTTGTGGGCTAGTGTAGACCATAGTTGAAGTTGAGGTTAGGGGCAAGAAATGAAATGAAAGGGAAAACTAAAGGCAATAGATAGGAAAGTTCTGAAATCTGAAAATTTTTCATAAGCTGCAGTACTTCCTGGGGATAAACTATATTGAAATGAATTGTATAAACTTACATAAGATCAGCTTGTTCATACTATATTATTCCACATGTAACCTTAAAGTCTGTGAAACAAGAAAAACAGGTTGTTATAATCCTTTTGCAGAATTTTGATATTATTCCTTGAAGAGCACATCAAAAAAATGAATTTCCCTTCAAAAATACATAATGAACAAAATGCTGCTGCAGGATCATTGGCTTTAATTTAATTTTCTCTTGAAACCTGTGGATTAGATACATTGCATTTTACCGTTACTTATTGTACACACGACTTTCTTAGTGTCAAACAAAGTAACTGGTTTGAACCGTTAATGTAATATTTTAAAAAGTTTATATAGTGTGACAAGAAGCCTTGAGTTAATGACATGCACAGTGAAGCCCAACATCCACCAGGCTGTACAAGTTCCTAATTTTTTTGCTGATTCATTTGTATGAACCAAACATAGTCAGTTGTCTATTTATGGCCACTGATGCCACTAATAATTTCTCAATGAAAGTTAGCAAATTTGTCTTCCATTCAATCCTTATCACATTATTGTTAATGGATATGAATGAACTATGTAAAATAGCTATTACTGGTTTAGTTGGTCTTAAAAGTAATGCAAACTTTGAGTTACCTAGCATTCTTCATTATGTAGAATGCCTGGGTTGTGCAGGAAACCAAGAGAAATCCCCCCCTCATATTTCCGTCCCCATAATAAGTAACCTTCGAGAACTTTATTGTCTACTTTTAAAAGGTTGTTGAAAAAGTAATTGCCCAAGCACTTGTAATTCATTGTTTTGAATAGCAACAACATAAATGATCAGAACAGATTTCTAACATGCCATTTTTAGGATGCTATTAAATTTCCAAGACTCCTGCTCTGTTACCACCCCTCAGTTCAAACTCTCTTTTTTATTCCCATTTTATAAATAAGAGAACTGGGATTTTGATATGTCCTGGTCAGTGCAGTGAGTAAATAAAATGGTCAAGTGAGTGACATTTAAACTTGTTGAATGGGGGATAAAATAATTGTCAAAATCCTTTCCAATATTTTATTTGTCCTAATAAAATCATTTCCACTTGTTTTTGCCAAATATGGCATCATCTGTAATATCTGCCAAAACAGACATGTAGACTAAAGATAAATATGCACTGCACCTTTAATTCAAAATTAAATGCTCTTTTGAAAAAAGAAAGCTCGCTCCTTCCTTGTGGGGAAGGAATTCAATAGGAAAATATATCAGTATTGAAAATGTACCTGCTACTGTCTAGTAGTCCAGTTTTGATTTGATCTGATCTGATCTTTGCTCTGATTCTCTATCAAGAACATGGCAGTCAAGGTGGCTAAAGTGGCTGGAGGAGCATTAATTACTTTAAAACATTTTTATTAAATTCTTCCTGCTGTTGCTAAGAAATGAACAGAATGTGTAGCTGTGTACTTTACAAGTTTTAAAAAGATTAGAAGTGAATCAGAATCAATTAAAAGTAGGCACGGTAAAGCGCTCATGGACTATTCAGCAACAGAATGTGGACGCCTGCTCTCTTGTTCTCTCTAAAGATCTAGTTTGGTCCCAGTTTTCAGCACTAAAATGTCAAACAATCCTTTCAGGGAGATTTTCATATAAAATGATTTGATAAAAGTCTACATGCGAGGCTTGAGATACTCACAATTCTTTCATAGAGACAGCATTGAGTAAGAGTAATAAAATTCCAGTTCTAGTCTAAAATGCAAATATATGGAAACTGCTAAATCTTTAAGTTGCAGTATCAAATAAAGGGAAGTTTTAAACAGCATTTCCAAAAGACTCGGTGTTTTTGCTTGGCTTATGTTAGTAATTCACAGAAGATTAGTTTAGTGCTTTCCAAGTACACTGACTTCTCACTTCTTTATATGACTGGTCTAGAATGAAATATAACCTCTTGGGTGTAAATAGTGTGAATTAGATATCTTTCACACAATCACATGCTTGGTGTGAGGGTTTTTTTAATTATTTTTTTACAAAACATTTACAAACAACTGGATCAAGGACTAAAATAATGCTCCATTCAGTGGGAAAAACACCCAGTAATAGCTTTCTTTTTCTTTCTGAGCAACATTAAAGTGGGATTTTATACTATTTACTGCTACAGTAAAATCAACTACTTACTAGGCTGGTCTCAGAAACTGCTGGATCTATGTAGAGCTGTCAGTGAATGGTACATGGCAGCTTCTCAATGAGAAAGGGTCAGGCCCCAGGCCGATTCCACCCATTCATGCCAGCCATTGGATCTTCCATGCCAAATCCATTGCTTCCTGTTTCAATTGAGCCTTGTCCCAGTAAGAAGTGTACCCTAAGATCTGGTGTATTCCTGCATCTGTGCTCATTCTTCTGTCCTGCCGTCTGGTTTGCCCTTGCCTGCTGGGTCTTCAGGCCTGGCTACTAGCTTGTCCCATGGAGCCTGTATCTTGCCCTACCCCAGGCTGCTCTCTGTGGCCCTGGCAGACAAACTCAAAGGTTTTCTTCCTCTGATGGAAAGGTGCTTCCCTGATGGAAGACAACCTTTGGATTTGTCCAAGCTGCTTTTGTCAGTGAGAAGAAACCTTTGGAACCAAGCTAGACTAGCAGCAAGCTAAACACCAGCACAAGAGCAAGACTATAAAATGCATGTGGCAGCAATCCCAGACTAGAAGTTTGCTTTGGAAGGCACAAAATTACATTAAAAATCAAACAATGGAGTGGCTGTTCTCTGTGATATCACTTGTGCTAAAAATAGGCATAATACTTGGCAAGAGGTCGGTTTATTATCTTAGTAATCCATAGAGTGGGGGTGGGGAACTATATTGGCTCTGGGGGCTAGATTGCCCTCTCCAGGCTCTCCCAGGATGGGCCCACCTGCTGATGCTATCGAATGCCTTGCCCCTGGAACTCTTCCAGTCAGTGTTTAAGCAGAGAGCTGCCCTCATGCATTTTTGACCTTCTCTGTGAGAAGAAGGGAAGTGACAAGTGAAGCACACTTGTCCAGAACTCACAATGTTGTGGTCAGCATTGATGTGTTCAAGTCCTTTACTCCAAGTCTCGAGCTGAGTAAAGTCTCAAGAACCAGCGTTAACAGAAAACAGGGAAGGGGTGTGTGTTTGTGGCAGGGGGGGTGTTGGGAGACTTGATACCCCTCTGATTTTCCCATCTGCACTTCTCTTAGTGATGCACTGAAGTCCTTTACTTCTACCACAATTTATTTCAACAAAGCTGTGCTGTTATTTGAATTTATCAAGAAAAGCTTAGAAAAACAACTTTCTCCCTGGATATGCATGAGAACAAAGTGGAGGCAACATGCAGAAGCACTGTTGCTCCTCCTGCCGAGGAGAGCAAACTGGAGCCTTCCCCCTACACAGGTAATCCCTGGGTTGTGGACAAGTTCCATTCCTGAGAATGCCCTTATGTAAAATTTATATGTTAGTCAGATCACATGAGTAAGTCAGATGTTTGCCTTAGTACGAGTATATGTATATCTTTTCCCTTTCTGTGCATATAAAACCCTTAAGAAAAACTTCCATATTCACTAAAATATCTTAAACACAATACATTATTGCAATAATGATAATAACTACGGGTACTGAAGAGCAGGAGAGAATCTGTATGTGTGTAGGAATACAGTATTGTAAAAAAGAAATAGTTCTTAAAACAGTTTAGAACATTCTTTCAAATCAGTGTCTTATAG